TAGTAATTACCCTTTGAGCTGGTGAAAGATGATTTGAATTTGCATTTGCAAATTAAAAGAATGCTGGAGTGATTCATGGTTAGAAGAGAGTAGGTAAGCCCCAAATTTTATTATTGCTACAGTACATTTTATTTTACATGTATTTTCTTAAGCAAAAGGAAAAACAGGAAATGTGAGCTGGATAGGTGAAAACCTGTTGGTTTTGGACAGTGGTAATTAAAGAGATTCCATTAAAGCTGTGTCTGTGGGATGCCTCAGAGATTATGTCAGTAACATGCTGAAGTAGACCACAGCACTGCTTTTTTGTTCTGACTGCATTTTGTTTGGCTGACCTTGCCATTGATGGCTTCTCAGATTCAAAAGCTTTGTTAACAAAACCTCAACAAACCTTGAGAAAATTCCACATCCTTAATTGGCAATAAATTTTTAAGTTCATTCAGATTTAAAATGATCATATATGGAATGTATCAGGAGTCAGGAAACTTAATTAGGTGAATATCTAAAGTCAACATAGAATGGGTAAAGGCTTATGGACTAATTGCAGTTTATATGTGATTATGAGAAATTTTGCCTTTCTTTTTAATAGTGTTGCATGGTCAGGATAAGGTTATCAGTTGTTCCATGGCCTTGGAGATCATGGGGTGTTTTTTGAGGTCTAGTTGAAGGTCTGTCCTTGTGCAGTCATACTTCTCTACCTGTACAGAGGAGGAGAGAGAGTGGCAAATTTAGAATCTACAGGGTAGTTTGAAGAGTTTTTTGATCACTGAGCCCTTAGCATTGGGCAGAATGGAATTGCTTCTGCAAAAGTCTTTTTATCAATGGAATTAGAATAATGTCTGTGAGTTTTGTCCAATAAAGGGATTGCTATTCACAGCAGTACTTCATGGTGGTAGCAACAGGGGGATTTACCAGCCAAAGTGATACACAAAAACACAGGAAAGACTGTGCTGGCAAAAGCAACCATTACCAGCAACACTTCAATGTGTCCACAAAGTTTTTTGGCTGTTGAAGATCCAATGAAGGTCTTTTCTGGAGAAAAAACCGTACATGTGGAAGAAGAAAGTTTTTTGTTTTCTGGTGAAAGTGGCCATTCAGTTTTGTCTTTTTTTTTTTTTTTTTTTTTTTTTTTTTTCTTCTGAGAAGCTGTTTCTGAGAAGAGAAGGATTTGTGCGTTGTTTTATATTTAGTTATGGGCATGACTCAGGAGACCAGTGTGGAAAAGCACATTTTATACACGTAATTTAAATAACACAGTTGCTTTGCTGAGCGTCACACACTGCTATCTTGGCACGAAGAACCAAATATGTCTTAAGAAAAAGTAAGAAGAATGGTGTGAATAAAAGTGTTAATCTTTGGAGAGATCAACTTTAGTCTCCGGTGTCCTGTTAATTTAATTTGACTCATTCCACTACTTAGACTACATAATTCAGACTTTAAACATTGCATTTCGTCTCCTACATTTTGCAATACTCTGCAATATGAACCACCTTTTCAGTATTGAATACATTATAGTGTTACTGTTCCTACTATAAAAGTACTTTTTAAATAGTAAAACTTTTTCCTATAAACATATAGTGTAGCAGGTCAAACATTCGTGAAGATAAGTATCTCAGTATTTTTATACCCTTTATATCCTAAACTGTTTACTAGCTTCTTTGATTAAAAAAAAAAATATTTTATATCAGACCCCTGATTTAAATAAATAATGAACTGTGGTTTCTTCAGTTTTGTTAGAATAATGTACTTTTCTCAGATCATGGGGTGCTTTTCTTGGGTTAGTTATGTAAAATGTTCTTTTTTATTTTATTTAAGTGCATGTGAAAACATGAAACTAAAGCATATGATGGCAAGGAACTATGAAACTATGTTTTAATTTAAGAATTAGATGTATCTTTATTAGATTATAAGAAAGTAAGAATACGTGGAGTTTTTTTATCCTGGTAAACTGAGCATTCTTGTTCTGGCAGATTTAATGTACTAATTTAATGGTTTTTGTTGTTTGGGTTTTGTGTGTGAGTATTTGTTGCTTTTTTTTTTTTTTTTTTGAACCACATTCTTGTAGTTCATACGGAAAATAAACATTTTGACTTTTCCAGAGTCTTTCACTGCTAAAGGCAACTGTTTAAAGAAGCTGTGAGTGTAAATGGATTTGAAGAATAAGGTTGAGGTTTGGGATCAGAAAAAACAGAAAATTTCAAGTTTTCATGCACTTGTACCATAAAACAAGACATCAAAATGGAGTAAATACTGTGTATTTTCAGTAGAGGTACCCTCTGGAAGAAGTATTTTTCCTTCTAACTGCGTGAGAGCAGTTAGTTATATAAAATTAGTTATATAAAATAAATATGCTGAAATGACTAGTCAGGGCTAAAATACTATGTGGCCGCTCTCTTTTCTCTTTTAAGGTAGTTTACTTCTAATCTGTATCACAATATTAGCAAATGAATAACTGGATGGGAAACTCTCTTCCTTGTCTTGCTGAGCTTTTCGAGACTTTCTGCTTAAGAACAAGGCAAATACTCAATTACTGGTTTTGTCAGAATCTTGAGTGTTTTTCTTTTGAACTCACTGTATGCCTTAGCTTTTGGACTGCTGTTCCTCTTGGATAGACGTCACTCTTGTTTTGGCAGTGAATTCCATACCTTTCTTTGACCATTTTTTTTCCCCCTCAGCATAAAGTCAAACTTTTTCCTTCCAAAATGCTGTCAAACCATACCACTAAAGTATCTTCATCACTGCAGGAATACCTACATATAGTGCAGTTTATTGCATCTCCTTAGTCTCTGAACATTTAAGTGTGTTCTTTTTGGAATTGTTCAGTGTGTATTATGATGTGCCTCACATATTTGCAGAATAAAGAAATGATAGTTCTGAGAGAATACATCTCATATCATCACTTCATTTTCTACAGCTGACAGTAGATGCTGAATTTTCACATGCAGATTGTACCTTTAATATTCCATGCTATAAAACAGCCCCTGCTTAGTAATTTACCTGATCTCATCAGCCCTAAACTGGTAACTATTGATCACTGAAGTCCATCTCCTTTCTTTCACCCCTGAGTTTTCTTTGTCTTGTGATCCATTCGGCTTGCTTTAGCTCTAAGACATAGCGCAAGGCATTCTATAGGGTATGTGGTGAGCTGTAAAGTTTGTACTCAAGTGGTAATTGGAGCATCAGCTAAAATAACCATACAAATACAAAATTTTTGTCATAGTTTCTATAAGATGGGGATGGTGTCACCACCCAACTTACGGTGGAGGTGTAATAAGAGATAGTCAGAGATTGTGAGGTACTCAGATGCTAGAGTGATACTGACCTCACAGGTCTAGCAGAGTGAAATAAGAGAAATTAATTGATTTCATAGTGCCTGATTTAATGTAATTTCTTTAATGAATCATGCCCATAGATATTTTTTTTTCTAGATTTTCTGTTGGATTTTCTCCTGTAAGGAATAAGCATACTATTTAAATAATATCATATTATTTAAATAATAGCAACTGTAGTGCGAAGCTCCCTGCTTACTGCTAAGCCTAAACTGAAATCTTATTTGAACAGACTAAAAAAAGTTCTTTCTTCAATCTTTCAAGATAAGTCTGCATTCTGAACTACTGGAATCTGAAGTGCCTGTGCACCTGCTTTTGTCTACTATTACAGAAAACTTTTAGAATTATAAAAGTAGGAGACAGATTAGATGTAATTAATATTAATTATCATGACCATTGATGGCTGAGAATTCTGGACGATTGACCCTTGTAACATCTTTAGTGAAAGCAAAGTCTGATAGTAAAATTAATCAATACAAAGGAGTGGTACAACAAGTGGCCATTCTTACCAGAAATGTTACTAATACATTGTGTAGTGGCACTACCATCTATCTATGGTATTATATGTGTAAATTTAAAAACGAAGAAATATTCCTAGCAAGGGTCATTGCTTAAAATGTTTCATCTTATTTCATATGCTTTAAGTTGATAATTTAAAATAATATAGTAATTAGCAGTAGAGTTACTTACTACAGGAACTCTCTATAATATACTATTGGTCTTACAAATTTATCAGTGAAATAAATTGGATCATTGATTATAGTAAATAAGAAAACACAATTTGCCAGTAGAAGGTGGGTGTCTGAGGTGGTGCTTTAGTTGTGTTAATATTAAGAATGCATAAGGTGTGGATGGCTCAAGAGTTTACACATTAAGCTGAAGTCTTGGAAATACAGATTTGATCCCTGCTGTTCTAACTCTAGGTGTAACCTCTGCCATGTCATATATTCTTCATGTGCCTAAATTCCCTTTGTGTTTAAAGAGTAATAGCTGTGCTATGCTGAATAGGGTGTGACAGTGACAAATGCTCTAAAATTTTGAGTCTCAGATTCCATAGCATTAGGAGACACATTGATGGAAGTAATGAGATGAAGGTAGAAAAATGAAACAGAAGTTGAAACTTTTTGCTTGTGAAATGAACCAATCCTGCTGACTGCATTGTAGACAGGGTGGGTTTTTTGTGGTTTTGGGAATTTAAAATCTGGTGGCACTAACAGACTGCTTCTGTTCAGGTTGTCTGAGGGGAAAAATAAAGGAAAATTTTAAAGGGACTGTGATAAGGCTGTTGTTTTTCAGTACTCTGCTTCCACAAAGTTTATCTTTCACCCAAAAAGGAATTAAATTTTAGATTTGAAGAGTGCTTGGCATATAGAAAGGTTTGCAGGTTCGATCTCTTTATATGTGTGTTAAATTCTCTTTTTGTGAAATAATATTTGCTATCTCATTTATTCTGGTAGTGTTGACTTATTTAATATTTTTGTTACATGATAATTGTCAGTTGTTTCGGGATGAGTTTCATGATTTTAAAACAGTTAAGTGGAGTTTTATCATTGTCAGAAGTAGAAAAGCTAATTTATTCATTCCTTTGCACTACACAGGTAGCTCAGTAACTCTGTAAACAACCACACTTTCTAATTGTATTCTTTTTTTTTCTTTTTTTTTCCTTCTAACTAGAGTCTGTGTGTATTTACACCACCAGGAGCTAAAGAAGGACAACCACGGCTTATTCCTGCAGGCCCCATTGCACATGGCACTACAGTATCTGCTTATGTAGCCAGATCCAGAAAAACATTGCTAGTAGAAGATATTCTGGGGGTAAAAAGCTTTCTCTTTTTAATGAGATGATTACAACATGTTCTTAGAGTGAATATTTTGATGCTGAAATGTTTATTGAGCTGAATGTATAATGATAGAGTTTATATCTGTCTTGCTACTAAGGAAATATGTTAGCAAGTTTGGATTAGCTTGATGGAATAATTTCAGAATATCCCATTTATTTTTAAGTGTAAATTTAGGAGATTTTTTGTCTTTTAACCTTTGTTGTTGTTGTTGTCAGATAAGTGAAGTGATTGTACTACAGTCACTTGGAGAGGAAAAAACCCTATCAATCAAAACTCCTGTCTTCCTGGTCTTGAAATACTTAGTGTGCAAATCCCAAACACGACAACTTCCACACAGTCAATTGGAGTTTGTTTTAAGTATAAATACATGGCTAATACTGAGAAGAATGTCAGTCAGAATTCTGGTTATTAAACAGGATTTTGATCTCTGCTTACACTAATGTAAAGCTAGAATGCTTATAACATCAGTAAACCTACATCAAAGGCACACTAATGTAAACGATATCAAAATACAGGCCTTTGTCTGTAAAAAGATTCAGAAAATCCTAAAGTGATATTCTGATAATTCTTGGCACTCTGCATGTCTGTCCTTTTTAATTTTTTTAAAAACTACATTCTCTAGTCATGTCTATGCGATTGTATCAAGCTGGTATTTAACCTGTACTTCATGTGAGAACACTTTATGATCAGCTGGTTACGAGAACACCAAGAAAGTTTAAATTTTCCTTTCAATGTTTTCTATTCTTCTGAACTCTGTCCAGAATAACAATCTTTAGATGCTGTGGCCAAAATGGGACATTACTGTTATAAAAACAGTATGACCTTTATTGGGCAAACCCAGTCTATAAACAAAATACTAAATGCCTAATGTGAGTAGATTTAAATAGAACCACAAAAACAAAAGGCAGAAGCCGCTTTCACTGTAGTAACAGTCAGTACTTTCTATACAACCAGGACTAGAAATATGTTTATACGTTGTTAGATTTTTTTTCAGAGATATAGGGCTTAAATTGCTGGTAATTTCCAAGTAAGATCACAATATCCATGTATATGAGGGTTGCATGTTTTGATTTTACATCCATAATAATATCAGAGGGAGATAGTGGGGAGGAGTTTTGAACTTTTTTGTTGGTTTACAGTATCAGTGGATTATTGACTGAACAGGGAGATTCATTTTGGTGACATGGTTTGCTTTCCGGGGATTTTTGTAGCATCTCAACAGTGAAAGGAAGCACTTGCAGATCAACTTGCCAGCCCTTTTTTGGGGAGGACAGAAATAAAAAGTGAAAGCAGGAGGCTCATGTTGCAAAGTGCTTCCCACGCTCTTTTTTGTCTGTCATTTGTTCCTAACCCTTCAGAGTGATTGTCATCTTAGTAATTAAAGTAGAGATTACTTGCTGTTTTCTTTGAGAAAGGAGAGATTTTGATGAGCCTTGAAGCTGTGTCTGTCTTGCCTCACCACAGCCTGCAGGGAACTTCTGGTAGGAATCGAGACTAAAGGACTGAAGGATTGATGTGTGATAGCTGTGGGTCTCACTTCACACAGGCTAGTTACTGCCTTACTAGCCATAACTTCCAGGTGGTTTCATAGGTCTTTGTGAGTTTTGATACATGGAGAATTGAAGCTATAAAGCCTTGGACATTCCCTATGTAGATTAGAAGTTAAGAATTTGGGTCTTTTATAGCAGCTGTTAGATTATTTTAATATTTTTTCCTATAATTTTTGCACCGGCTTATTCGGTATGCATAAGCAAGAGAAGGAGAAGGATTCTGACATATTATACATAATTTTTTGAGAATATATTTTCCTCCTCAGGAGTCGGTTGAGGATTATAACTCTGAATAGCCTTAAAGCCTTGTGTTTCGATTTTTGTTCTCTTGCAAGCAGTACTGTCTGCTTGGTAACACTGAAGTCTGAGCAGTCCACTTCATAACAAATGCTTTGGTTTTTTTTTTTAGGGGGGAATGGGGTGGTGGGCTAGTGTTGTTTGTTTGGATTTTTACTTAATCTAGACTGGCATTAGTAATGAACTGATGGGTTTGCTACCTGTGAGATTAGACAAAATGTATTATAAAAGCATACCCAAAGCTAAAAATAACAACAAATTATGACTCTGCATCAATAAAGTTATATGGAAATTAATGCTGAGACTTTTTAATTGCATTTTTAGTAGATGTCTTAACACTATGTGTAAATTATGCTGAGAGATATGAGTTTTAGTGAATTTTATAATTTTCCTGTAAAATTAATGAGCCAGAAGAGGGAGAAAAATGTCAGTATCTCTTTCATGTTAATGTTACAATATTTACGTTTTATCAGATTATGTTTACATTTTCTAGGATGAGCGATTTCCCAAAGGTACTGGATTCGAATCAGGGACTCGTATCCAATCTGTTCTGTGTTTGCCAATTGTCACTGCAATTGGTGATCTGATTGGTATCCTGGAGCTTTACCGTCACTTGGGCAAAGAAGCTTTCCATCTTAGTCACCAGGAGGTGAGTTCACACCCAGCCTTTGCCCACTTCCCCACAGCGGTCAGCCCTTCAGCCCACGCAGACTTTTTTCTCTCACTCTCCTCGTGTTTTTTCTACCTTTTTTGTACTTGATTTTTGTTCTTATCAAATGTTACTTATCGAAAAAAATAGTGATTTGTATTTTCAGTCACAGGAGGTAAAATTTACATATACAAGTACAGGGACATCTCAAGAATTTTACCTTGTGTTCTTTCGTGGAAAAACAGATTCAAGATTTCTTTATCAATAGAGAATTTAAGAATTTAATGCAATTTAATGTAATTAAAGAATTTAATGTAGAGCAGGCGAATGAAATATAAGTGTGAATCAAATGTCAAGAAATGAAATCACTCTATGTAAAAGAGACATTGCTGAATTATCCTGATTCTCAATTTTAACTTTCCAGTAAAACTTTATTTTGCAGTATGGAAAGATTTTTATTTAGTCGACTGTTTTGGTGTGGCTTCTCAGTGAATTAGCCCTATTTTAAAACATAATGTTGCAACATTGTAGCAATGGCATAGTAAGTCTCAATGCTGGCTCTCATAGGAGAGGAAAGTGATTTTATTTCAAAACAAAAATGGAGCAGAAGAGACCTCATGTATTTTCATTCACATTCTTACATCCACACGCTGTCAGGCACCAAGGTGTGTATGTCCAGGTGGTATTTCCAAAAGCTGTACACAGAGATGTGCACATCCAGGTAGTCTTTTCAGGATGCCTTGCAATGACATGGAGGACAAGGGATGCCAGCTCGAGTCCTTATGTCTACTGGTTCTTTTCCTAGGTTGAAGACGTGCTGTAGTTTTGGGTCAGCCTTTTTTTTCAGCCTTTAGGGGATGACATCTTTTGTCTCTATAGCCTGTCTCATCTCTGTGAGTCATCAAGATTTACTCACTGTCCTTTGTCTCCTGACCTAGATGTTCTTAGAAACTGTGTGTATATGTGCTGGTACCTGGATGACTTGCTAATCTAGGTGCCATTCGTAAAGCTCTCTTCTACTTTTTTTTTCCCCTTCTGATGCTTCTCCATCCAGATATTCCCATTCATAACCATCTTCCCATTTCCATGACTGTTCTCTACACTGCATGGTTTACTGTATTTTTTTAAGGCCTGTGTACTTATGTTGTCCATACATGTCCATTTTTCAATCCAAAATTATGAGTTGTTAGCCAAGTGCAAACAAATTCGACAATGGAGCAGTTGTCTCAAAGGCTAGCACTGTATTAAAGGTGTTAGAAGTGTATCTTAGCTCTCATGTCTGGGTGAGGATCCTTGTTATGTCCCATCTACACATTAAGATGGCTCTCACATTCATTTTTCTCTGTACCCTTCCCCAGGGAAGAGAACATGAACACAGAGGTTAGGACAAAATGGGGTGAGTTCTAGCCAGGACTGTTGTCTCGATAGTGGTACAAGGTGCACCATGGAGCAGTTTAGGTGTACTGAACAGGAATTATTCTTGTGAAAAGAACAGAAAATTTAAAAAAAAGAGAGATATTAAAACTAGCCCTCCTGAGGGAGGAAAAAACCAGCAATATTTATTAATTGTATATTCTGTCTATCAGTAACCTAAGTAGCCCAGCATACCTGTGATGCTCATAGATGTCTAATAGTCAGGCAGTCCATGCTGCTTCAGCCTCAGTGTCGCACCTGGTATTTTTTTCCACCAATAAGTAGAGGTCATGGTAGAGGGCTGGATTAGTATGGTGGTGCCAGTGTCCCTGCTCACAGAACAAAGAACAGGCATTCATACAAAGCCAGGCTTCATTAATTCTGCTGCTTACACACAATGTATTTATTTTTTAAAATTATCCAATTACATTAATGAATCTACAGTTCAGATAGGGCTCAGACGTGCATTGTTCTGTGCAAATATGAATCTTTTATCTTCTATGAAATACCTTCTATAACTGAAGTTCACGAATGTTCTACTTGGAAAAGACTGGCTGCTAAATAAGAGTATTTTATTAGTAAATTGAAAATATTTTAAGGTCACTTTCTGAGTGTTCTAAAGCATTCTTTTCATTTTCAGTTTTCAGAAAGCCTTTGGATACCATCGGCAGTTTTTATAAAATGTGTACAATGTGTTCTGTTTTTAAAAAAATAAAATAAAAAAGAGTATCTTAGGAGGGTATGCAGCAGCAGACCTCTTGTACTTCTGTCCTCTGTGTTCCTATAAAGCTTCTGTGTTTCAAGGCCAGGAGATTATGTATGGTAGCACATTTTAGTTAACTGCAGTTTACGTGACATTTGTTTGAAATGTTGCCTGGAAACTGTCATACACTAGTCTTGAGCTGAGGGATCAGGTCTGGTTCTTCTGCCACCAAAATGGTAGTGAAAGGAACAGTGCCTGTTTACAGCTGGAAATAGCTGTGGCTGAAGAGATACAGCCCCAGAAAGATATTATGGGATATTTTATTTCTATGGCTTATGGGATATTTGTTTTGATGTTGTATTTCTGGGCTGATGGGTTCCCAACGCTGCTTCTGAAGAGCATTAGTAAGTATATTTTGGATACAAAAAATAAGGATTTTTTCTCTTGTTACTGAATGTACCTTACAAAAATTGAAACACTTGCAAGCATACTGAGATGTTCACAAAATAATTGTCTTCCCACAAATTGGTACTATGTAAAACACCTCAGACAACTTACTTAGCAGCTAGATAGAGAAAACGAGTGCATAACCAATGTGCAGGTTTCTTCAGAGTTACTTTCTTGTCTTTTGTTTCAGGTTGCAACAGCAAATCTTGCATGGGCTTCAGTAGCAATACATCAAGTACAAGTAAGTGTGGCTATTTTTTCATTTTTTCATCGTGTGACCCCTCTGCCAGGACTTGATTAATAGGAGCACACATTATGATCAAGTTTAAGTGAAGTTCACTACTAAAACTGTGATTTAAGCCCCTTTCCTGAACTTGGGAAAAATATGCTAATATTTTTGGTGTTCATGGAGCTAGTTTTCCTCTCTTGCAACTGTGGATCAAAGAACTTAACAATCAGTATATTTACTAAAGGAAAAAGAAATATTAACAAAGTAGATGCATAATTGTTGAAGCAGAATTATAAAACCTTTGCAGTTCTCTTGTAAGAACCCAGCCGCTGGGCCAACTGGTTACTTTCCCCCTGCCTTGGTATTCCGTTTGAGATTATTAGGTGTTGCTGGCTAAAGCCTACTTTATGCCACCGTTGCTAGCTGCTTCATGGTCCTGTAACTACTCCCTCTAAGGATGCTTAATGCTGTCCCTAGTTGGGTGCCTAATGAAGCTGCACGCAGTGCAAGCTGCTCTAGCAAACCCCAGCAGCTTTGCTAATAGGTTTTGTTACTTCAGCTAATAGAAGACGGTAACACTGAAACTAAACATGTTCCCTCAGCTCACAGATTAATGCTAAAATAGGTTCTTCTGTCAGCTCAGAGGAGGAAGTTTGTTACTTTTTTTTCCAAGGAGACTTTCATACATTTGGCAGAAGACTCACACAAAGCTTCCTCTTTTCTAGGCTGTAATATTTGCCACCTTGGTGCTGGAGGTCATTGACTTTGTTTAGGATGCTCATTCCCTCTGGCACATTTAGGCAGAATTAGCTGATGTAGGCTATTGTACACTAGTAGAATTGCAACTGTGTGCAGTTGTAACTTCACTTTTTAACAATGAGTCCCTCTTTAATTGAAATGTTTTTCACACTTAAGAAAACAAAACACAGAAAGCTTACTATAAACCTGTTCATTGGTCATTTTCATTTCTCTCCCTTCTGCTAAGCAGAAGGCCTCCCCTTCCCAAGTTTTTGCATGAGAAGAATGTAAAAGCTTTGATCTGGCATTGGGCTGTGCCTACCAGGCTCACAGCTGCACTTTAGGAAGTAGTGTATATCAAGAAGTTGTACCTAGTTACCTAATTATATTCAGGAATAGGGCTTCTGAATGTGCTTTGTCATATTTTGCATATTTATATTTGCATTTTATGGATGAAAGGTATTAATAGTTCTGAGTGATATTTCATCGTGTAAAAGGTACAAACAGTAGAGGATTGGGTGGGTTTTTTTGACCTAAGTACTTGCTCTAGTAACATACAGGTGTACAATTACACTTTAGGTACAGAGTATGCAATTAGGGGAAGTAAAAATACAGTTCAAAGTTTTGCTTCATTTAACACTTTCTTTCTAAAATGTAGTATGAATACTACTTTTTGTGTTCATATTCATGCTGATTTCTCCCAAAGTTGAGCATCTATTGTCTGCTACTTAGCTTACTTAAACTTGCCTGATGTCATTCTTCAGTTCTACATGTTCTACATGTTCTACAGTTCTACATGTGTCTACATGTTCTTGGCGACCTGGAAAAAAGTGGTAAAAGTATGGCAAGGAAGAAAGCAAGCAAAATAATTCGACATTATCAGAAGAGCTGAGGGTCTGGATAAGGAGGTGTCATTAAGCTGATTCCATAAACGCATTCAGTGGCAGCCTTTGAGGTAGCATGAATGAGTGGAACAACCAATATCTTTCAGATAGCCTTAAGAAAGATGTTACTTGCATTTGACAATTTTAACTCAGCAGCTAGATAGCTAAGATCGAAGCCCAGCACACAAATCCAGCTGTTAATTTTATACAGTGCTGTAACATATGCGTATACTAGTAGTGTGATATTTTTTTCATACAAATTAAATGGGTAGATTGTGTGACTTCAGTTTCCCTCTGACTTCAGTGTTCTTTTGGAGCAAATTATAATGTGATCTGTGCTTCCAGGTGTGCCGGGGCCTTGCTAAGCAGACGGAACTGAATGACTTCTTGCTTGATGTATCAAAGTAAGTGTGATTGCACTCAAATCTCATCAGTTTATTTTGACGAGCTTTTGTAACATGGTTCTTCCAATCTACCCATGTTTTACACTGTAGCTCACACTTAGGTGTGAAGGAGCACCCTGGAGGGTGGGCAAACTTCAGCACAGGGACAAGAATGAATGATGTGGGCGGTACTGCTGCACACCTGTTAAATTTTTTTATTTTGTGGTGGTGCAGAAGAAAATGTAACATCCAATTATACCTTACCGAATTTGTTTATTGCTTTGGTCTTTTGCATGGGGCTTTTTGCCTTTTTTCCCCTCTTCTGTCAGAGTTAAATATGAGTCTCTTTTGAGAAGTGACAAATATGCTTGCTATCTCTTTTCATGGCCAGTTTTAGAAGGATTGAAAGGACTTTATGAAAAAATAGTTAGCTTGCTTCAGCTTCTCCCCCTGCTTTTTGACATGTACGCATACACATACACACATATAAATATACACTTCTCAGGGGTATTTCTTGAAGAATCAGGGCTGCTGCACAACTGTTCTTCCCCTGCAGTTTCTGGAGGCTCACTTTTAGTTTTCATAGACTGTAACTGCATGTAGTATGTTTTCTTTTAATTTCTTGAATGTAAGATGAAATTGAAAACACAGGAAGAGCGTGAAAGCTTGGGCTTAGACTTACAAAGTCAATTTAGTGTTTTAGGCGATCTGCTCTTCCTACATCCATTTTTCTTTGTTGCTGCTATTAGCATCTTTAACTAGTAGAGATAGTCAATAAATGAACAGGCAAACCGAACTTGTATTTTCGGTAAATCACAGTCTGTGGTACTTAACAGTGTTTTGTCAAACTAGTTGGTTGAAGAATTTTTAAGGACTGATGATACTGTGGAAAAATGAGATGTCTCAAATTTTTGCTGTTACAAACACTTCTCTGGGTCTTGATGAACAATTCTCAAACTGATGAGATTAGAGGACATCCAAGATTCCTATGCCATTGCTCAGGAATGCAGGCAGCCGAGTTGACCCGCCTGGAATGGGGAATGATACACCGCAGGGAGGAGTCTACCCCTTGCAAAGAGGGCAAGCTGGATATATCCAGATGTTTTTCCTAGCTTTTTTCCTCAGGGATGACTTTTTTTTAAATTTTAGCTTACGTTCAGAGCCTGTCTCCTAAAGGGCACTCTCATCGTTCCCTTGCCAGAGCTACCCACTTGCTGCAGTCTCTTGCACCATTATGTTCCTTTCCAGAGTGTTTTTATTTTGCTAACATCTGAACTGAGCCAGTTTACCAGAGAACTATGGATTAATCTAACCAGCTGTATAGGCTGGCAATTTACTCTTGCTACATAATACTGAGATTGTTTCAAAGAACTTTGTAATGATTTTTAAATTTTAAGATAAAAATTTCAATAAATACTGCAAATATTTCATATGTATTTCTATAAGAAAATACCTCTCCTACCTAATTGTCAATTGCTAGAGTTGTTTAGATTTAACAAAAAATAAGCCCTACGTTTTGAGCCACAAAATTGGGATATCGTTTAATAACAACTTACGTTAACTTCATGTAGGTAAAGACTTGCACTGGCAAGAAAATAATTAGTTTCTTCTTAGAAATGGTCTGTACCTTTTTTTACATGGAAAGAGGGCTTCCTATTCAGTGAGGAAATTGTTAGCATGCAATGTCACTGGGACATGTTCCGTACCATTTTAGAAAGGGCATAGTATGCAGTGCTCCACTTCTTCATGTCCCTGACAATGTAAGACTAGCCTATTATATATTTCCTTTCCAGGAGACCCAAACAGAACTGAGCTGTATATATGTTCAAGGCCATGGGACAATATCTTTCTGTCTGCTGGGAACATTGTAATCCGAGGGTTATTAAGACTTGGCATGCGGAAGATTTAGACTTCTTTTACTAATAAGTGTGACCTTTATCTTTCAATGTTCTTGACTGTCCTTGGACATTTACCACTTTGCTGTGAAACTGAGATACCTTCCCCCTCCCCCCCTGCCTAAGTTACAAGATCAGTCTTTCTCTGCAACTCGAACATGATGCACCTGGGTTGGTAGAGAAGACTCATTAGGAGTTTTATAAATTTTGTTGCCTTTTAAATAGAATGAAGGGTTGGATAATGGGACTTGAATTTAGCTACAATAGGTAGTTTTCATTAGTTCTCCATACATAGTCCTGTATGCATAAACCTAATGAAATATTTTGAAAGCATATAGATAATAAGTGTCAGCAATAGAAAAAAATAAGTATTTTTAAATCATCTTCTGGATTGCTTTTCTTTTTTTGCTGCTTCTTTTAAAATTTTCAGTATGTAAAGAGCGCCAAAGCATTTTGATACAATCTTGGTGTTGCTCAGCAGGGGCCTGTTTAATCCATGGTAGGGAGTCTTTTGCTTTTCTACAGAGAAAATTCTACATATTATAGACAATATTCCACAATTCCATCATATTATAATAATGGCTTAAAGGAACAGATCTAGGACCATTATTCAATTCCTTTGTGCTATAGCAAGCCAGTCAGTGATTTTCAAGGTGCAGAGGTTTGTCCTCAGCTTTCAGGCTCCACTGTTAAGCGGTTGTGAAACGAGCCCGTGACAGCCATTTGAGAAGCGTTTGACTAAATGCCAATATTTACTGACTTCTCTTTCTCTGCAGAACGTATTTTGATAATATAGTTGCAATAGATTCTCTACTTGAACATATAATGGTAAGTTGTTTTTTTCACTTCTAAATTTATTAGTCTTAGTTATTAAAGCCCTTTGTTCTCCCTTCCTTGAAGATATTACTTCATTGAAATATATGAACTGTATATAATGGACACAATACAAACAGTATTAACATCTCTATATGGAAGAAGGTGGCAAAGGTCAGCTTGATTTTTTTCATTGCTGCAACAACTTCATTTCACAGATTTCATAAGTAAGAAAATGTGACTGTCTCTGAACTAAATAGTTACTATTGTGTTCTAGAGAAGATTTGAAAATTGTAACAGAAAGGCTTCTGTTTTTCTTCTTATTTCAGCTTGTTTTATTGATTTCTTTTTCCAAAATTCAATTTTCCACATGCTGCAAAACACTCCTGAAGAATTTATTGTCTGTAGGAAGGACTCGAGGTCAAATATTACTCCCAGAGCATTTGTTCCAGTTGCTGAATGAGATGTGCCAGCCATGACATCCCTTTTGCCTTGCAAAAGTATTTAAGCCCATAAATAGAGTGACAGAGTCAATGTTTTATAAAAACCACTAAAACCAAGTCCATTGAAATAAATAAAACTTTTTAATCAATGAATTAAAGTACAGTTCAGAAACACATTATAATTTCCTGAATCATTTTTGAATTTAAAATTATTTCCTGAAGAGTGTTTACATATGCACTGGTGGTCTGTAGCAAATTTGAGTGTTTGATATATGAATTACGCTTTTTAGCTTCTGAGACATTCATTGTATCCTGAATGTAAATCGTAATCAGGTCTGTGATACTATTGTTTCAATTTGCATATTAAAAAAATTACTCTCAAACAGTAATCCTATACTTGCTCTAGTCTTCAAAGTGATATTCTTAGCTAGACTATTCAAAGACAACAAACTTAGAATCCAAACAATATTAAAGTGGTTTTATTTAGAAACTTGAATTAGTAATGGAAAATATTCTGCAGTGTTTGTCTTATTCTAGTTAGTACACAGTCAAGAATTCAGCACATAGGACACATTTCTGAATGTTGACTTTTCCAATTTAAATGAACTGCTTAAAAATAGCTTAACATTTAAAAGAACTGGTGTAATATAACATATGGCATTGAGAACAAATATTGATATTCTTCCCTGTTCTTCCCAATGAATAGAGGTCTGGTGGAAAACACAATTGGCAGTAAAATACGCTTACTCTTTCATCTTTTCCAACACTTGGCTACATCATGATTCTGCATTTTAACCTACGTAGATGTTTCATACTCAGCTTCCTTTGTAAGCTGAAGCAGTTGGCTGTTTCTTGGGCCAAGGCATTGAATTACGCATTTACACATTTATTGCCATTTTATGGGAGTGTGATTTTATCATTATGTGGCTTATTCTGTGTCTCACAGTAAGAAAAGAGTGGAACTCAATTTCACTTCACTACTTCACCCTTTGGTGATTGCACTTATGCTTGATTTGTTCCTGTAATTATAAGGAAAAGAGAATGGGGACTTTAGCATTCTTTTCATTTTTATTTCCATTAAAGTCCCTCAGCAAAGTTAGTGATATAAGGGTGTTTTTGAATATAGAGGCAAAGAGGAGAAGCCAAAGATCAAGTTGCCTTGCAAATCTTCTTACCAATATGTTTGAGTACTTACAAGCAACCTACCCAACAGGTGGTCGCCGGCCTCCCTACTGACAATGCAAAGCATACCTTCTTCCCCTTCAGCCACTGGCCTGGATTTGAGCTAGGCCTTTACAGAAATAAGATTTTTTCATCCCATTAACTATTTCTCTCCATTAGTCGTGTTTAAGCAGTTATTTTTGAAAAGCGTGATTCATGACCAAGGTAAGTTCTTGAGTCATATGCATTAGAACAGAAAAGTTTTAATTGTGTAAAATCAATAGTGCTGTTGATTTTATAAAGAAATCTGATACAATTTCTGAACAGGTGTAGAGAAGCATTTACTGTACCCCTTGTCCCTTCTGGCATAGTTTATACTCACTCTGTGTTGAGTAAAGGAATAAATGGTGTGAGTGGTTGAGATCTTTAAACTTCTTAATTCTCTGTGTGGGAAATATTTCACAAAAGTTGCTGCTTAGCTTGCAGTCTCCCTTACTTTCTACTACTCTGGTGGAGCGAATGGAGTAGAAAGCAACAGAATCATTACAGCCACAGATTCTGTCAGTATGGAAGGGCTCTCTCCACGTTTTGTAGGGTTAGTCTAGATGATTTCTCTGCGGTTCCCATTACACAGCTGAAATGACATGAAATTAGAGTCTCTCAACTAATGATTTATTGTCTCATAGGGTTTTTTTGTCTGCCAAGGTCTGACATTTTTATTTGCATTAATATAAACCTTAATTCATTCTTATGGAAGTCTTGAGGATTCTTAAGATGTGCCACCTGCATGCAGAGCATACCAAGATGTACTCAGCCTCTTTCTATGGCTGAATGACTAGATAGCTATTAAATACAATTTTTAAAAGATGAGCAAGATCCATTTCAGGTCATGCTCTACCATGCAGTTACTGTGCTTTCTGAGTGGGTAAGAAACATAGGAGACAGAGCTGAATTGGATAGAGCAGTTTCTTGAATCTGACTATATGGCATCTTTAGTTAACACAGTGATCCTTATTCGAATCTGGTTCACTCTTTCGTCTTGTTCTCAGAAAGTCCATGCAGTTGGCTGGCAGTTTGTTTTGCTAAGATCAAACTACCTGGTTCAAAGTAAGACAGAGACCATGCAAGTCTATTGCTGTACCGTGGTGCTTCCTTAACTACGGGTGGTATCGTGTGGGCTTTGGTTAGTTCATGTAGAACTAGGTGTCAGCTTTTGTGCAAGAACTGTTCCTAGCATCTAGAGGGCACAGCCGTTTCCTGTCCTGCTGTGTAGGGCAGTCAATAATGACAAGGATAATTATGACATTTATAATCTACCCTATTTGTTCATTGTTATGTTTTACAGGTACATTTAGCTCCTTTAGAAACAAACAGTAGCCTCTCTGTTATGTCTGTCTTTGCTGTATATTCAATAGCAATATATTTGCATTAAAGATAAAGACAAAAAGCCAAAAATATTCTTAAGTCTTGCCTTATCCTATCTATTTAAAATCAAGTGAAGAAGCATAATATGTAAACATAGAGGGAAGAAATGTACCATTTTGAAAAGCATTCCTTGTACTTCAAAAGCTGTGTAATAGGAAAGCCTTTTTTCTTTTAGAAAACATTCAAGCCTCTAAAGATATTCCCGCATTTCTCAAAGAGAAGAACACTCTAATTTACAACAAAATATTGAATAAAAGACACTTCCATTTTTAATTATATTCTAAAAGATTGCTGTGAAGGTGGATACTTCTTCAAACAGATTTTCATTATGGATAAGTTCTCAAAACTTTTATCTTCAAAGGACTCATGTGTTTATCAGATAAATTATTGAAGATAATTTAGCTCATGATCATTAACTCTAGTTTTGTTTCTTGTCTATAGATATATGCAAAAAACCTGGTGAATGCAGATAGGTGTGCACTCTTCCAGGTTGACCACAAAAATAAGGAGCTGTATTCAGACCTTTTTGATATTGGAGAAGAAAATGATGGGAAACCTGTCTTCAAGAAGACCAAAGAAATAAGGTAAGAGTAGCTAGCAGAAGAGTCCAGTTTCATTACAACTACAGATGTGCAGGCATTTTATTACCCAGTCTCTGTGCCTATCTGCAGGTACCCTGACAATACTTGTCATACTGTGATATCATTCCCACCAGGACCCGCCTCCAGAAGGTAGTACTTCTGGGAATGACATTGCAGTGCCATCGAAACAACGTCTCTGAAGCTATAACGTCACTCCTGGAAATGCCGTCTTCCGGAGGCGGTCCTTTTGGAAATCATGTTGGGAAAAAAACAGAGGTGTTCTGAGGTAGGTAAAGGTGCAGGTAAAGATGCACCTAATCCATAGTCTGCCAGTATGGGACTTTTTTTCCCAAGAGGGTTCCCAAGAGGAATTGCAATTTGTGCAATTCAAGCACATCCAAAGCAAAGAAATCACAATTTGTACTACTCACAGTTGTACTAGGCATATGTAGAATATAGTGTGGACTGGTTGTTGGTTTTGAAGATTTCAAGTCCAGTAACTTAATTTTACTTTTTCCTCATGTGAATTTAGATTATTTTCAAACTATTAAATAATTGTGATTCTGAAGTATGCTTGAATTTGAAAATGTATGTGGGCTTGTAATGAATAAGTAGGATTCTCTGCCTAAATATGTATATTTCTGCTTCATTTCACAAGTACATAATTTTTATGCATATACATGGTTTTTTAATGAAAAAGGCAAAACAAAAAAATTATGAATCTTCAATAGATACAGATTAAGATTTTCAAAGACACACAGGTTTTAAACCTGCAGCTTCTTAAAAAGAAGGAAATGTATGACTAAATATCCTGCGCTAAAATTTTGATGAAATACTCAGCATAGATTTTCTCAGAAATTTTTTTCATTTTGTCCTTATACCTTTAAAGTTCTAGGCTGATATGAGATGTGATTCATGTCTTCACTTAGACTCCTTTAGACAGACTCACTCCCACTTACTACATTGTGTGAGTGAGAAGGGAAGGAGTCAAAATTGGTGCAATTTACATACTGACAAGCAAGGAGGTGGTGTAAATTAAAGAAGGTGGCCTGTTTTAACATACACTTCCCTACTCCTCCATGATAATTGTTTTTCATGCTTATATCTTTCTCTCTTTTCTGTATGAAAATTATTGAAATGGTGACTCTGAGTGCAAGGGTGTGAGCCATTTCATGCGTGCTGTATACTGAACGAGAAGTACAGCTTAAATATCTCTAAGAAAGTGACACTGAGTCAGTCAGTCATCAGGAAGGGGCCTTAAGTTGGTGTGATGTACATATCATAACGAACAGCAAAAGAAAGTAACTTAAAATCAGGTGTGCAGGGTGAAAGCCTGTCAGATTTGTCACTAACTTCAGTGGGGGCAGGATACTACTTAAGTACATTTCAATCTGAACGTGTTCCACATGTGATTCTTCCTAATTATTTTTCTCCACAAATTCTTTTGTGCGTGTGTGTCATAATTGTTTTATGTCAAAGAACTGAAAATTATTTCCTCGCAAGACAGACTTGTAGTTTTTTTCTGATTCAAATCCAGGATTGTGTTTAACTTTCTTGTGGTGATTAAGGGATGTGGTTACTACCATGGCATTGTTTGCATGTCATAAGATGAAACAAGGTAGTTATTCTGAAGCGTACATGACAAACGCATATTATGTTTAGCTTTGAAATTCCTACTGGTCTTTTCCCAAAGATTATTATACCAAATCCACCTGCCCTACCTAACAGCCCCCCCAAAAATGAAAAGCAAGTTCTGTATCACCTATGATCTGTTTAAAGAATATGTAATATTTTTACTGTGGAGAATATTCATTAATATTCATAATATGAATCTGTAAAATCGATGATAAAATCAATAGCTTGTAGAGGTAAATGCAAGTCTTAGGTTCTGTACAAATGTGTTGTTTATGAAGCATAACCCCCCAGGGTTATTGAAGACTTTGAATTCTTGTCACTAAAATGGTCATATTATGGTATCTTTTGCATTAAACTGTGTAGTTATATAAAATGTTTTCAGAAAGTATCTGTTAATATGTGCTTATCTTATTATTTACTAGTAGTTGCTGTTTTGTTAAAATTTTTCTCCTAAAAGCATCAAAATTGCACTGGTTGGGAGCCAACTATCCGTTACCGTGCCCAAGACAGACTCCACTGGAAAAATGTTTTTCCAGGTAGTCCATGTAGTGGCTAATGCACATTTTTATTTTCTGCAGATTTTCTATAGAAAAAGGAATAGCTGGTCAAGTGGCAAGAACAGGCGAAGTCCTTAACATCCCTGATGCCTATGCAGATCCACGCTTTAACAGGTAGGATGTTATTCATGAGAGGTGAAGACAGCTCACCAAATCTTTTACTTTTACTACTTAAATTTCACACTAGCATAGATTTTTGGAACTGTGATGCTCTGGTGAGAAGACAACCTATAGGTATCTATTTAAATGCTTTAACCATCAGAGATATTTTTCAGATGCAACAAAAAGATATTATTTTTATCAAATATAAATATAATGAAGAAAATTCTAGTTCTTTTTCCTGTTACAGAACTTTTCCCAGGTAGGTAGACTGTTGCTGATTTTCTTTATTAGCCTCCCTGCAATTTGATTCCTTTCAAGGGAGGAAACAAACGTTCACTAAAAAATAGCATGCCTAAGTACCTGAATGTATTCTTTAATTTTATGAGTAAGCTGGCTGTACATTTGAGGAAGTAATAATTCTTTATCTTGCAAATGGATATTAAAGGATTAAAAAGTTCTTTTTAAATATGACACAGTAGATGGAAATATTTGAGTGCTTTGGAGGTGAGCTTCTTGCAGGTACTAATTACATCTGCTTACTATTTAGTATATTGTACATCAACTTTTCTGAGAATCAAGGAATAGATATTAATTAATTATTAATTAATAATATTAAATCTTTTTTTCCTCTTTTTTTTTTTTCCTTTCTCTTTTCTGGCTTCCCAGAGAAGTAGACCTCTACACTGGCTACACAACCAGAAATATCCTGTGCATGCCTATTGTAAGCCGAGGAAGCGTAATAGGTGTTGTGCAGATGGTGAACAAAATAAGTGGAAGTGCCTTCTCTAAAACTGATGAGAACAACTTTAAAATGTTTGCGGTCTTTTGTGCTTTAGCCTTACACTGTGCTAATGTAAGTTTTATTTACAGTTTTGTCAGCTGTTGGTTATAGTGGGAAGGCTTAGAATCCTACTTAAGGATTTTGATGTTCCAGATAATTAAAGTGATTCATGTCTGTTTCATTGAATTAATGAGGAAACAGGAGTCATTGAATTCCTTACTGAATAATTATATTTTATGAGGATGATAGGGATTCATTTAATGCTTTCTGAAATAATTGTGCTCTGGATACATCAATGTGGTGTAGCTAAACTGAGAGCAAGCTCTGAAATGTGTATATCTGTCTGTCCTCTCTTTTCCATTAGAAAGTATGATTCTTATTTCCTTTCATAAATGCAGAGCACACGTTTTACAAATTTAACTGGTGGATGGAGAAGTTATGTATTCTCTTGATTCCAGATGTTTAATATTCAAAGATATCAGTTTATACATTTATATGCTGTGCTGTGTATTCATAATTATCCATGCTTCTAGATAGGAGTGGGTAGCTATTTTTGTTATCAAACCCTTTATCATCACAGAAATCACTATTCCTGTAGGAAACATAAGCAGTTTAATGATCATTATTGTATAAGTATAAAAATGCAGTAAGTGCAATAAAAATGCAATGCAGAAGAAAACATGTCTAAAATACATGTCTAAAATACAATGCATGTCTATAATACAATGCAATGCCAGTCCAGCCAGGTGCTTTGCATCAAGCCATTTTATCAAGAGGATGCTGTTGATATGCTCCCGCAGCAAATTTTTTTAACAATTACTTAAACTTGTTCAACATGACTCAAGGCAAGTAGAAAGTCTTGCATGTAAATGAAATTTGGGACTATGCAATCATTTAATCGTGTGTGAGTTCGCTCTTTTTAGGTGGTGAATGTTACCATTCAGGGCATATTGCTCCAGAGCATTTTCTTTACTAGTAAAATTGTTGTATCCTTGCTTGTTTACAAGCCATCCCATGTCTGCAATAGCTGTCTGAACCTCTCAATAATTAACTGTACTTATTTTTCACAGTTATTGCATAGTAATGTAGAAATGATAAACATCTCATGTACTTTTTACTGTGCATAGGTAGCAGTTATTTGTACCAATTAATAGCTGATTTCATGCAGTGGCACAAAACATTAATTGTTCCTTGTTATCAGTTTTCTTTCTGTTAGCATGTTGCAAAGGGCTGGGCTGTGTTTCTAACTCCTGAACTTAAATTCTTTTTCTTGGGAGACCTCAGATGCAGTGAAAAATCAGCTGAGCCTTAGATGTTTACCTGACTGAGTAGATGCAGAATGATGTGGTAGAGGGCCCAGTTTTCCAGATGTACTGAATTTCATATAATCTGTCACTTTTCTAATGTGTGAAGTTGAGCAGCCAAAAGCACTAACGTTTTTGCAGATGTTTATTTTAAGAATAAGTGCTTGAATACAGGAAGGAAATGTTTTTTTCCTTTATTAAGATTTCACACTCATGAATGACTTCCCTTTTTCAGATGTACCACAGAATTCGCCATTCAGAGTGTATTTACCGTGTAACGATGGAGAAGCTGTCCTACCACAGTGTTTGTACAGCAGAAGAGTGGCAAAACCTCATGCACTGTACACTGCCTCCACATATTTATAAAGAAATTGAATTGTAAGTATTTTTCTCATATAGCGACAGTTGCATCTTGTATCAGTTTGTGAAAAAGATGATTTTTATTTTTATTTTTCCTACATGTAGTGGAGCATTTTGTAGGAAGCACTTTTATTATTGTACTATCCTAAAAACATAGGGGTTTATCTCTGGCTTTCTTAATGACCTGTGATCAAATTTTATCTAGCAAGGATGTAAAATAATACCTACTCAGAATGGTAGCATTTTCCTCAGGCATGGGTAGCTACAGTAGCTGCTTTAAGCATTAGTTTATATCTAAGGATTGTAGACATGAGCTTTCTTTCTGATAGTCCCAAGTAACCAAGAGCTCAGAGCCAGAGAGCAGGCTGAGCCGGAACATTAGTAGTTAAGACCAAATACATGATCTCATCCCCTTGCATATGTTTTAGAACGAAGGACTCAGCTCATTCCTGGGATTTTTTGGATTGTGTATTTTTTTGGTTTGGGGGTGGGGTGAGTTGAGGTTTGGGTTTGGTTTGTTTGTGGGGTTTTTTTGGTGCGTGTGTTTTGTGCATCTGCCTGTGTTTCTTGGAGGAGGGTTAAATGGATACAGATCTCTAAACTTCTTAAGATAATTAAGAGTTCTGAATCCCAGGTGCTAGAGTTTAAAGTTGCAGCCTAAATTTGCCTACTAAATTAGCCTAAATGGGACTTCCCATCCAGCCTATCTGAAGGCTTTCTCTGAAAAAGTCAGGTTCTTCCAGCTCCCAAGGGTCTGCTGTGTGCTGAAGACGTACCTCTATCTGTTTTTTATCAGTCAGTCCACACTAGGTGCTAACACCAGGACTTCTCTCATTTTTTATGCTGTATCAGTTTCTGGCACAGGGCAATAAATTCTACTGTAGTGACCAGGTGTCTAAAATCAAAACTCGATGATAATGAGTCACAAAACCTAAGTTGTCTTCGGAAACTTGACTCCAGAGCTCACTCCCTCCTGTCAGGCGCTGAGCACTGTAACTTGTGAGCGAGCAAAGCGTGCAAGCGTGTGCTCAATAGGGGCTGCTTACAGTTAATGTTCATTACATGCTGAAGTGATTTGCTTGAAAGCCAGAGTATTAGCAGCTTGCAGGATTACACCCTAATAGAAGCTTATTCTTTGCAATACAATTTCTTGTGCTTTGTTAGATGATATTATATAACCCACCTCCTCAGCAAAAAAATGTCTTTTACTTGCAAAGATGACAGGTTTCATTCTAAATTATATTAACATCCTTTAGTTCAAGCAATCTGAATACATTTAACCATTTTCCGAGCAATTCAGCTACCTTCAGCTCTCTTGCACCTGCTGTGCTGCTCAGTAAGCCACGTACGCGCAAGCGTTTAGCTAGGTTCAATGGAAAGTAAATAAAAGACTTGCAGCACAGCAGGTGCAGGGAAAGGGGTTAATTAATAATCGAAGGACAAACAGTTCTGCTGAGCGGGTCCCTAATATTAGGCCCAAGTGTTGATATCGTGAGAGGGGAAAAGTACTCAGCTAATGAAACATAAAAAATGCAGTGTTAAACGTTTGATTTCTGAAGTTTGGGCATAATTTCTATTAGCCAGTAAAAGTTGATTTATTCCTCTATCAAAATTAGAGAGAGTGTCACAGAATTTGTGACAGAAATTATTGAAATAAAGCAGCTAAATATATTATTCGAGACATCATCTTTAGAGTTCCTGGGAGGAAAGTCTGGAATATTACAGGAGTGCCTGTAGAGCTCTCGTCATCCCTAAAGAACAATGATTTTTGTACATTACTTTCAGCAATTGATTCTTAAATAAAGAAGTTTCTATTAACTAAACAAAGCCAAAGTCTAACCAAAGGTTAATGGTTGGACTTGATGATCTTAAGGGTCTTTTGATCCATTTTCATTGATCTTAGCCGAAATATATTTGTTTACATTGCTGGAAAATACAGCCTGTAAAGTCAGGTTTTTGTGTGTATTCAGAAACAAGCATATGCTGTGGGATATACATTACCTGTCGTTTCCACTTGCTCTTAGTAAGAAAGAAAAGACGTTTGTCCTTACTAAGCTGAAACTTTCTTCTTAGATACCACTTTGATATCAGTCCGTATGAGGATGTCTGGCCTGCCATTTTTGTCTACATGGTTCACCAGTCCTGTGGGACAGCCTGGTATGAAATATATGATTTATAGCTTTAATTCTGTAATTTATGTGTATGTTTATTAGGAATTTTTGAGTTCATTATTTTCTAATTCAAGTTTTTATTTTCTTTGGAGTTTATTTACTATGGTCTGTACAGGGCTGTAATAAGCAGAGGGGATTTCTTGTCCCAGCTTCTTAGTCTTCAGTTAATAAAATTTGGGAACATCTTGGTAAAAGAACTCAGGATATCATCCAAACAGTTGTCCTTCCAATATATAGAAGTATTGTTTTGTTCAGAGATGAGATTGGCTTTCAGACAGAAGATAGTGACGATACTGAAAGCACTCTTGCCAAAAAAGAGAGAAGGTCCATGAATACTGACTTGTCAAATATATGATTGCTGAAATTAATATAGCATATGGTTATAGTAATCTAAGTTTAGATCTTATCTTGCTAAATAAGTCAATTATCGACATCATTGTGGATTAATTACGGAAGTGAATGTTTTTCAGATGAAATGTTTCATGTATTGTCCTTTCTCTCAGTGTCCGTTGTCATTACTAAGTAGTCTCTTGGCTAAGTGAATCCCATTGCTGAAAGAAAGGGGCTGGAAAAAATCTACAGTTGGGCAATTGAAAGCAGGAGTATCTCCCTGCATAAAGGAGCAGCATTTGGGAAACATTTGCTGGTGACTGTTCAATCTTAGTAGCTGGATGAGTCTCCATTCCCTCAAGGCATACAGAAAGACCTGAGCATCTTTCTCATGTCTTCTTCAATACTGCGCAGCGGGTGACTGTTGTAAATACAGTTCTCTACTGCTCAGTGTAGTTAGCTTGTTTCCATTTCTGAATGAATGGCTGTGGATGCAGGATTGGGGTTCAAATTCCCAGCTAAATTCACAGAATCATAGAATTGTCCAGGCTGCAAGGGACCTCCAAAGGTCATCTAGTCCAGCCTCCCCACAGTCAGCAGGGACACCCCCAACTAAGTTCTGTTCTGTTCCCTGTCTGTCTCTCAGTCTCTTTCTTTCAAGGTGTAACTTTGATGGCAAAGAGTTGATATTTTTCAAATGAGTCTCGGCTTTCACATATAAAGTTAAAGAAACAAAAGTGAGGAAAATATTTGAAAAGAAGGCTGTTGTGACCGGACTTGTATTTAATTTCTGAAAGAACAAAACTTCTCAACCCTCTGAAACAAGTACAGCTATTTTCAGAATAAAATTTGATTTTTTTAATATAAGGAGGAGTAAGATTATGCCTTTAAGTGTAGACCTATGCCATGTGTAACTGTCCTGTCCAGGGAGGATTTTGGAGAAAAATCCATTGATACTCGCTGTATGTTCTTTGCTCTCATGAAGAAATAATCTTTTACTGCTTTAATCAAGTATACAAAATGCAGCAGTGTAGGAAGGAATAGCGTTCTACATTGAGGTATCATTGGTAATGATTTTCCCTTTGGCTATAACTGTACTGACCCGTAGTAACCACTGAGTTGATATTGGATGTAGATGGAAGTGACTGTTGTGATATTCTGAATTATCATGTACTATTTTAAGCAGTAGTTCTAACAGTTTTCTGGGGCTGCCTGACTTAACTTTCTAGAATTAAGAAAGAAGCCCTAAAGTTTTTGGGAAAGGCAATATACCTCCATTTCTACTAATGGCAGATTAAGGCTAAGAAGAATAATTACTTTGCTCAGCACACAACCACAGAAATATGTTTTTCTATCTAACTGGTTCCATATAGTAGAAACATTTACATTTTCTGTATAGGTCGGAGACATTCAGCCTTGTTTTCTTAGCCCACATATACTGCAACACTAGAGCATTAATACCACTTCCCTGAGATACTGAAGAAATTTTCAAAATGCGGAACTTAAAAAAAAAAGTCAAAACACAGTAATAGGTGAAAAAATAAGAATAAAGGAAAACTGATCTGTTTCTTGAGAGAAAAAGTCCATGACTTGGAACTTTGGCATCTTCAGTTCAGTTCTGGGCTCAAAGTGTAACGTTCCTTTTTCACCTGGGGGAGCTTGGATTAGGTATATTAGAAAATTTTACCTGATTTCTAATCTGTGCCTGAATTTCCCAACTGTAAACAAAAAGTATTCAGCTTTCCTTCCAAATAAACATCAATAAACAAAGTCTACTAAAGATTGTGCAGAGCTCTGGTACTACAGAACATGAAGTCTCTCAGAAGTATTTTTGGTGAGCATTTAAACCAACATAACAATTACTTTATTACTTATTATTACCTTAGTGAAAATACTCTTGATCATAAGTTCATTTTTCTTGTCTATATTAATAACAAAAATAGAAAAAAAAATTCTTTACAAAATAATCCCATAAATGCTATAGATTTGGGGCATTTGGGTGGACCGGAAATTCCTTAAAGAATATTGTTTGGTGAAAAATGAAGAAAAGTGAAATGTGAATATCTGGACATTTGGTCAAACTGGAAAAAAAAAAAAATTGAGGTCTTGGTAATTGTTTTTTTCACGATGTCAATATGGAGCATTTCAGCTTCTACTCAAAACAATTTACACATTTGGCATTTGACTGAAATTTTATTTAAGTAGGATTATTTATTCTGTGTCATTTACTTTAAAACTCCTATTTTCTATTTTGATCACAAATTATGTTTTGAAATGGTCCATTAGATGCTGAATTTCACTATTTGGCAGGTTGAATAGATACCAGTTTAATGAAACCACACTTCAAGTTTCTGGGAGGTTATGCGATGGTGTTGCCTGAGGTGGGTAGCTTGACTTGTGTTCCAGAACTTTACAGATTAAACTAAGATCATTCTCAGGTGTACACTCTCCTCTGTCCTTGCCAAAACTTGAATGACTCTTGTAATCTATGAGTCATCTGCAACAAGAGTCAATCCTAGCAAGAAGAGTAAATCTAAGAGCATCTTTTATCCTCTGTTGGTTATTTTCACCATTCTTATTTCTTGTGTCTGACCAAATTAATTTCTTTCTAGCTTTGAACTTGAAAAGCTGTGCCGATTTACTATGTCTGTAAAGAAGAATTATCGCCGTGTGCCCTACCACAACTGGAAGCATGCAGTTACTGTTGCACATTGCATGTATGCCATACTTCAGAACAACCAGGGGCTTTTCACTGATCTAGAGGTAGGTGAGATGATTGTATTAGTTACCAGACCTCATCAGAGGTATCAGCCATCATAGAAGTACATTTTCTATGCTAGAGTTTTGCTGTCAGCTTGGGCAGAGTGTATATAAAGGTCCCTGCAGAGGAATGGGTGTGATTGGAAAGCCTGAGGAAGGAGAATTATTTAGATTCCTAATCCTAGTGCTTCCTTCCCATTTTTTGGATTTGCCTACTGAAGAAGCAGCAGCAGGTTTGCTCTAAATTCATGTACACGTTTTGACGTTCTCCCTATTCTAAATTTATGGTAGGGAGTACTGTCTATCATTAGTACTATGTGAAACTTGGGGAACTAGGATGGGCTGGTCTCAGGTGAGGGATGATGACATGAACCTTGATAGACTTAGAGATGAGAAGTATGAAACACTGAAAAGGGGACTCTGGTCTAGAGACAAATAGATCCAGCAGCAGGCAGTGGTCATAGGGTTGGGATCCAAGCAGGGACAATAGGTACAAGGTCAAGAGCACTGGGGTTTGGCATTTTATAATCCTGAAGGACTGAGACAAGAATGACTTCCTGGGACGTGGAAAATGGGAAAAGCTAGGCAAAGAGAACCATCTGGTACAAGGGATGGACTGATGAGAACTGTTAAGACTAGAAAACACACAGGTTTCACAGGATGCAACAAGAGAATTAAACTTGGGCAGTAAGGACAGAAAAGCTTATGCCCACTAGATGTAACATATAGCACAAAGGATTCTGAGACTCATATTTCTTTTGCCATCAGAGACTGTTTTGCCCCTCCTGATACTAATGAAAAGCAGATACCGGCATCCTACAGCTGTTACTGCATGATTTCAAGTAACATAGGTGTGTGTTGTGTTCCTAAGGATTCCATTTCCACTGAGGATCTGTGTGGGCATGTGATGCTGCATCATCTGTTTTAGTAGGTGCTTTTTAAACATGCACTTCACAAGATGCAGTATTAATAGCATCATTAAAAATAAAAATGAAGGCTTTAGAATAAAAGTGAAGGTCTCAAAATCAGAAATACAGTTAAGGCTGCTAGAACCTTATTTTTTCATATTGTGAATTTGTGATAAAATCTTTAGTTACATCATTTTTGCAATTTTTCCACAGAATCATGTACTTCGGTACAGTATGCAGGTTGGATGTTATTAATTTAATACGTGGTTAATCAGTATTCTTCTTCTGCTTCATTGTTTAGCCTTATCCTTGTTTACTGAACATACATCAGAATCAACTCTAAGACAGAGCTGTTAAGTCTATAAAGACATTTTTGTGATACTCCATGCCAACAGAGACTGCTTCACAAACATTAATGAATGTGTTTTCGAAACACACCTGCTGTGTGAAAATCTTTTGCAAGTGTTCCTGTATTTTGTGTGTTGAAAGAGAGATTTTTGGGACTCCATTTCTTCAGGATGTTAAGATTTAATTAAATAAATAAAAAATAAATCAGTTACTCTCTTATTTTGTTTACAATTGCTGCTGTCCAGCATTTCTCTAGCTCACATTAGTAACTTCCTAGAAAGAGTTTTACCTACGAAGCTTTATCAAGTGTCTTCGAGGAGAATTACAGAGGCAGGTATAACATTGTACTTTGGCACAGATGTCTTGACCAGGAGATCATAAATGTTATGTATTTTCTTTCCTTCAATAGCTGCACTCTTCTTTTTTTTTTTCAATAAGCACGGTAAGGATTCAGTGAATGAATGATCCGAGTTTAAAACTTGGATTTTTTCCTGAAGAAAAATCCCTCCGATAGGATGGGATTTTGCAACAATGTTTTTTAAAATTCATAATATATAAAAAGTTTGAATTACAGTTGGACCAAGAATTTTAATTTAGCGTATCCTCACTTTTATGTTTCTCGCAATTTTAAGGATGTTTCTACACGTGATTTTTGAAGGCACTGTAAGCCTAGGGCAACTCTTACGGTATTTTGAGGAAAGAGTGACATCTAGGGGCAGGAAATACATCCTACTTTTCATGTTTATCTCTATTTTTTTTTATAGCGAAAAGGTCTTTTAGTTGCATGCTTGTGTCATGACCTGGATCACAGAGGTTACAGCAACAGTTATCTTCAGAAATTTGATCACCCCTTAGCTGCTCTCTATTCCACATCAACAATGGAACAGCACCACTTCTCGCAGACTGTGTCCATCCTGCAGGTAGGATTATTGAAATTGTATCTTCTGTGCAGTAGACTCCAGTGGTGGAAATAAGAGTCACATCATTATCCAGTAGATTTTCTGAAGCATGCTTAATTTAATTTCTGGATTGTAGTGCTCATTTAGAAGAGTGGTAGATTTATTACAGCAAGATGGGTTCCCACAATTAGCAGACCAAGCATTAAATAACAGTGCAAAACATAGCTTTCTCAAAATCTTGATGTTATAAGAAATATTGTGTATTTGAAGGTCTTTGCTTATGGCCTTCCTGTAGAGGTTTTAGCTTCTGGATTAATGAGGTTTTTTCCTATGACCATATGGATTAGGAACTTCAAAAATAAAAAATCAGTTTCTTACTTGCTAGATACTTCTGGCATAATGTGCTTCAACAAAATCTTCAACTGTCCTGAAATTCTGAATAAAAACTCAAGTGCTAGCAAAAGTTTGCATGAGAAGTTTGAAAACCTGCTGTAATAAATTCCACGAACATTATATGTGTGGCATGATGGAGGAAATGTTAATTTTGCAAGCATGAAGAGTTTAAGCTTGTTTCATGTGCTTTTTTGTTATTCAGCAATTTGAAATAAAAAACCAACTGTGTAAGGTATTGTATGAAAGAGAGCTCATAAGATGAGATGAAGTGTCTGTATGTTTGATGAGTAGAAAACTACAAGAAAGCATGCAGATGCATTTCGGGAAATCCAAGTGTGCTACTGACACACAGATATTTTCTCCTCAGTGAATTTTTTTTTTTTGTGCTCAATTAGAAAACTGAGAACTCTCACCTGTGAAACTACTGCCAGTCCATAACATACTTGCGCTCACTGGTTTTAGTTTACCATACACACGCTCAGTGCACAGCCTTACCAGGCTACTGTGCCACTAATTCGTTATTAACTTTTCTTTCTTTCTGGTCTTTCAGGGGGAAGATAGATATTTTCTTAAATATCTAATCACTTTTTAGGAAAAATACATATTCTGTGTTGTATTCAGAAGCACATCTTGTGATTATGGTTTTAGGTATCATATACATTTCATCAGAGAATGTAAACTTTATGTCTGAATGCTCCTCCATGTAGGAGGGTGTCATTGAGTCCTTCAGTGGTGGTATGTCATTAGCTTTTTAGTATTCACTCTTTGTGTGAGTTTGTGCGCAGTGAGCAAGTTCCTCAGTCATTAACAATTCTCTGTCCCGCTATGGCTACGTGAAGCAGACTTCTGTCATTCTTCAAAAATCATTTTGCATTTTTCCTGCAGAAATGTTGTAATTGGTGAAAGTCCCATTTGCCAAGAGGGCCGGAAACCCTTTTGTTTCTGTACTACCTCCTAGCTCTGGCCATCACTGTGAGTGATGAAAGAGAGAGAGGTGGTCAGGGCTGTAGAGTGGATTCAAACACTGCCTACCTGAGTGCCCAGAGGTGGTGATTAGCAGCAAAGGCAGATTAGAGCAGCCTTTTGGATTTGCTGTTTTTTGTTTGAATCAAAAAGCTTTACTAAATTCCTGGGTTGTTGCAAAAAAAAAAAAAAAAATCCAACCAACCTACCAAACCCTTTAGGGTTTATCTCAATGAGTTTTAATTTTATGTTAGTAACCTGCAGTACTTTTCACTGTTTGAAACTTTATAGCTGCTTTGGTCATCCATCTGCAGTTCTAGCCTACACCAATTTTATGAATACAGAGGATTCTATTCACTAGCTTTAGCTCAGCAGGGAAAGAATAAAATCTTAGGAGCTATACTTCATATGTACTACTCAAAAACCTAAGTGACGTGCTCAGAAATGGCAGTTTCTGTCAGTACTTAACAGAATCAGTTCTTTTCTAGTAGTATGAACAGAAGCTGTCACAGTGGACTTTCTGATAGTGCAGCTTCTAAAGCCTAAAGAATAGAATCTAGATTACTTCAAATATCAGAGCAAATAGCCTTTTCTAGTGGATTAGGCAGTAAGGTTGGGGAGGAAAGTGTCACCAAAACCCTGAATCATGAAAAGTAGTAGTAGTCATTTCCTGCTCCCAAAGTGTTGATGATGGGTTAAAATGTTCTGAATTTTGTTTTTTAAACATTGTGTTCTATGACTTAGGAGTCTGTCAAAGGAACATTGAGACATAGACGGATGTATTTTCTATTTATTATTCACAATAAATCTACTTGTCCAAGTAAAAATGTTGGAAAATGACGTTTACGTTCCGGATGGTGAGAGAAACCAAGCCTATTTGTACCACGGAGGATTTATTTTGAACAAATTATGTAAATGCTTGACAAAAGTCAGGGAAACTTTTTATGAGCTTCAGCCCAAATGTCAATTAAATGTCAAAACACATCTGCATTTGATATATTTTAATAATATTTTCTATTTGTGAATGTGCACACCTCAACATGACTGGCTTATTCATTCTTATTTTATTCTGTTTCCTCTCAATAGTAGGAAGAATTTTGACAAGTTGTTTTCCAAATCTTAGAGACAGCGAATAGTGTTGACTTTTCAAAATGGGATATAGCTTCATGAGCAATCACAGTACATGGATATTGTCAGTTAAATGTGCAATAATACATAGTGGAAGTTGAAAAAAGATGACAGTGGCGTGTTGCCAGAGCCTCCATAGTGGAAGCCATTGTCATTGGTTCATGATTCAGTCAACTCATGGTTGAACAAAGCAGCTTTTTCCCCCTAAATGTTCATATACATTAAAATATTGTAATTAACTTGATTTCTATAGATAAAATTGTATCAATAATTGCAGCAATTTCAGGCACATTTCATTTGGAACACTATGAAAACAGAATTATTTTAGTACTTCAACTTGGATATTTCCTTATCCATATTATATGTTATGCAGGATCAAAATTGTGCTTCAGAGTGAATCAGACACTCAGTTTACCAACTTGGCAATGCAGTACTCTGGATTAGGATTGAATCATGAGTTCCCAAACTAATACTGTCTGGGAGTGCTGTGTCTGTACTGCCTATAAATCGGGGAAGAAAAAGATAGCATTTTTCTCTGTTAATACATTTAGGCTTCAGGACGAGTAGTTCCAAAACCAAATCAGTGGTTTAGTCATAGGTTTCATGACTGTATTTAAGAAAGAAAGATAAAAATGGGAATTTCAGGCTGTCAACATTTGAGTTTGCAACAAAAATTGTCATTGGGCTGTAAAACCATTGTAATCTGTCTGGTGAAGGAAAGACTGAAATCATCTCAGAATTAGAGCTTGTGCTTTTTATTGGTTTTTTACTTTTTCATAGCTGGAAGGGCACAATGTCTTCTCCAATCTGAGCTCCAGTGAATATGAGCAAGTACTTGAGATCATCCGGAAAGCCATCATCGCCACAGACCTTGCCCTATATTTTGGAAATAGAAAACAGCTTGAAGAGCTGCATCAAGCAGGAGCATTAAACCTTAAGAACCAAGCACACAGGTAAAGAGGCATAACCAGTATTAATTCACTATGGCATTAGTCCCAGAAAGAAAAACCTTATTTTTGCAAAAAAAAATCTGTATACACGGTAACTTTCTTAAATGTGAGATTTCAAAGACCAGTTGTGTGTAAAATTCCAAGTATGTAACAGTAATTTCCAGTGTTTTATATTTACATATCACTGCCTTTGGATGTCATCTATACAGTTCAGTGACAGATCATCCGCAGAGGAAAGTTAGTGCCCAGGCAGTGAAGTGGTGGAGGAAAAGGATATAGTGCAATAATTGCTTAATTTTATTTTTACGTCATTATTTTTATTACTCTGTCAACGTGCATTTTTTGGAAAGAATTCTGGTCAGATCTCAACCTTAGTGAGTTAAGATAGCAGCAAGTTTTAAAAGTATACAAGTGCATATATTCATATTCATAAATATTTGACTGACCATATAAAAAAAACATATTGCACTCTGGATGAGAGATGTTTCTCAGGCTTCATTAAAGTGCTCATGCAGCCCTTCATGAATCCTGTCATTAATCTAATGTGGCGAAAAATTAGAGAGGTAATATGGGAAAAAAATTGAGTCATGATTATGATGTCTTTTCAGAGGGAACTTTGGTACTTGGGTCTTCTTTCTGAGGAGTTTTACAGGGTTTTATGAGTAGTTTTGAATAAATGATTTCAACACTCTAGAAAGGGCAGTTTTTAAAAGCTTATTTCCAAGTATGGAACTGAAGCTTGTCAGATTTGAATAAACCTCAACATTTTAAAAAGACAAAGATATAGTAGTTACCAATAATCTAAGAATGATATTTACCAGAAATCTTGATTTACCAGACATCTTGGTTTATAAAATTTAAATGGGATCACAACTGTCTAGTGTGCAATTGAATATTATGTTTGTATTTTTTTATCTTGCCTGCCCTCCGAGCATTTTTGATGCAAAGCCATGTGCCCGAAGTTAGGACATTAGTTTGTAATGTGGCTAAAGAGTCCAAGACTTGTAGTTGGTATCTCTGCATGCTATGGAATGCTAAATTTGGTCCTTATGTGGCTGATGAATCCTCTTTCTTAACTCAGGGGAATTGAACTTTGCCATTTATCTATTGATTATATTATTTATTTGTATATTTTCCTTGGTATATTTGTCTGTTGGTACAGTTTTAATGATTGTCATCATATTGGCATGCAAGTTAGCAAGTTGTGTGCTTTTTCCATGGAATAGGCATTATTAATAAAGATGTAGGTGTCCTTAAGTGTCATCTTAAATTCTCCATTGGGTGGAAAACACATGAATTCATTCATTAATTTGCCCGTTTTCTTTATAAAACTTAGATTCATAAACCATAGGTTTGGGTAGTGGACAAATGCTAGAAAACTGTTTAAATAAGATTTTTTTTGTGTGTGTGCCTTATTCTGATAATGATTATAATCTTACTGTTGCTGCTCAGGTATTCTGTGACCAAATTTGTCAGTGTATGGGACAGAGTTATGTGTCAGATTCTTGTTCTGTCAGGGTTAGAATTCACTCCAACAAAGCAGTGACAGAGTACCCTGAGATAGACTCAGAACTAGTCTTTTCCTCTTTTTGGAGCAAATGTGCCTCTCTTTTTAAAAACCAGAAAGAAATGCCTTTTCAGCCTGAAGAAGAGGAGGCTGCAGGGAGACCTAATATCAGCCTTCCAGTACCTGGGGGGGGCTACAGGAAGGCTGGGCAGAACATGTTTACAAAGGCCTGCAGTGACAGGAGGAGGGGCAATGGCTTTAAACTGGAGTGGAGCAGATTTAGATTGAAGATTAGGAGAAAGTTCTTTACTGAGAGGGTGGTGGAGCACTGGAACAGGTTGCCCAGGGAGGTGGTTGAGGCCCCATCCCTGGAGATATTCAAGGTGAGTCTCGATGAGGCCCTGGGCAACCTCATCTAATTGGGGGTGTCCCTGCTGACTGTGAGGAGGCTGGACTAGATGACCTTTGGAGGTACCTTTCAGCCTGGATAATTCTATGATTCTATGATTTTATAAACGCAGCAGCAGATTATGACATTTTTCTTTTTACGGACTTGTACTGTATTTTCAGATATTTAAGGAGGGGCATGTGAGTGTTTTAACAGGCAGGCATTCTTGTGTACTTTTCTATGAATGTGATTGTGTAGAGGATAGTCAATGAACTCTGGTTGCAAACAACACAGGGAATGCTACAGGGAATATAATTTCCAGTTTGTAGGATGCCTTGCCAGTGAGTCATAAACAAGTGAGGAAGAAACAAGCAAGGCAGGAGAAATTTTGTAGTATATACACTTTGCTGCTGATTGAACTGAAGAAGGGCAAATAAAAACTTTGTAATGTGACCATTAATTCTTTACCAAACTTACAATTTAATGTATTTTTTCTTGTAGGGATAGAGTGATAGGTCTGATGATGACGGCTTGTGATTTGTGTTCTGTAACAAAGTTGTGGCCAGTTACCAGACTGACAGCCAATGATATATATGCGGAGTTCTGGGCTGAGGTATGTATGTTGCTTTTTGTTTACTGTCTTGTCTTTATGAATGGAAGTATCCAGGAAGAAAAACCAACTATAAGTATTGGATGTCTTAATGTGCTTGTTTTAAAAAGTGTTAGTTTGTGCATGCATGTGTTTTGTTGTTTACTCTGAAGATATTTAGAGAATTAAGTTAGCTTCCTAATTTTCAGGCAACATTTTTTCTCTCTGTTAAAAATGAATGTAGAAAGTGGGTCCTAACATAAAGTGACCAAGCAACAGAACACAGAAGAAAATCTGTAAAGTTTTTTAAGTTACTAACTGTAGTTTTGGAAGCTTCTGTTTGTATTTTAGAAATCCAAAATATGAAACACACTTACAAAGCTGTAGTATGAGTCCATGAAAAACCCTAAAATTTTTCTCATCTGACCATTTCAATCTTTTTGTGAGCCAACTCAACAACTACAGTGTTGAGAGCGCTGATTTTTTAATATACTGAAAGTTACGCCACAGATAAGATGTGAGAATTGAAACAAGGCATTGAGCTGTGCTAATGTAATCATGTTCATAAATAAAGATTCAATCTCTCGCGTGTCTTACGCTGAGCAAATGTTATAATAATTTAATTTTTAAAGTGGAAGTGACTATTTTAGGGATAAGGAATGAATTCTGAGGGTGTTGCATAGAATTGAATTATGCAGTTTTAGAAGATACGCTGTATTTTCAGAACTACCATTGAACATGTGTGTCATAAAATGTTCTTTTCTGTTATGTGTCCTATGCAAGTCTGCAGAATTCAGTGGGATTATTTCTGTTTTACATGGGTGTAAACGCAGCAGCAGATTATGACATTTTTCTTTTTACGGACTTGTACTGTATTTTCAGATATTTAAGGAGGGGCATGTGAGTGTTTTAACAGGCAGGCATTCTTGTGTACTTTTCTATGAATGTGATTGTGTAGAGGATAGTCAATGAACTCTGGTTGCAAACAACACAGGGAATGCTACAGGGAATATAATTTCCAGTTTGTAGGATGCCTTGCCAGTGAGTCATAAACAAGTGAGGAAGAAACAAGCAAGGCAGGAGAAATTTTGTAGTATATACACTTTGCTGCTGATTGAACTGAAGAAGGGCAAATAAAAACTTTGTAATGTGACCATTAATTCTTTACCAAACTTACAATTTAATGTATTTTTTCTTGTAGGGATAGAGTGATAGGTCTGATGATGACGGCTTGTGATTTGTGTTCTGTAACAAAGTTGTGGCCAGTTACCAGACTGACAGCCAATGATATATATGCGGAGTTCTGGGCTGAGGTATGTATGTTGCTTTTTGTTTACTGTCTTGTCTTTATGAATGGAAGTATCCAGGAAGAAAAACCAACTATAAGTATTGGATGTCTTAATGTGCTTGTTTTAAAAAGTGTTAGTTTGTGCATGCATGTGTTTTGTTGTTTACTCTGAAGATATTTAGAGAATTAAGTTAGCTTCCTAATTTTCAGGCAACATTTTTTCTCTCTGTTAAAAATGAATGTAGAAAGTGGGTCCTAACATAAAGTGACCAAGCAACAGAACACAGAAGAAAATCTGTAAAGTTTTTTAAGTTACTAACTGTAGTTTTGGAAGCTTCTGTTTGTATTTTAGAAATCCAAAATATGAAACACACTTACAAAGCTGTAGTATGAGTCCATGAAAAACCCTAAAATTTTTCTCATCTGACCATTTCAATCTTTTTGTGAGCCAACTCAACAACTACAGTGTTGAGAGCGCTGATTTTTTAATATACTGAAAGTTACGCCACAGATAAGATGTGAGAATTGAAACAAGGCATTGAGCTGTGCTAATGTAATCATGTTCATAAATAAAGATTCAATCTCTCGCGTGTCTTACGCTGAGCAAATGTTATAATAATTTAATTTTTAAAGTGGAAGTGACTATTTTAGGGATAAGGAATGAATTCTGAGGGTGTTGCATAGAATTGAATTATGCAGTTTTAGAAGATACGCTGTATTTTCAGAACTACCATTGAACATGTGTGTCATAAAATGTTCTTTTCTGTTATGTGTCCTATGCAAGTCTGCAGAATTCAGTGGGATTATTTCTGTTTTACATGGGTGTAAAATGGAAATCAGGCCCACAGAGTTGTAGCATGCACATAGCATGGAGATTGTTGTCCTGCCTGTTGCATGTTGATTATGAAATTCAAAATGTGCATGGCTTGTGGGTGTTTTTTTATTTACATGTTCTCTTTCTCTTAATTATGAACTGCTCAGACTACAATAAAATAGGTGAAAAATGCAGACTGTATAAGCTCAAAGATCTAGATCAGTACTTTCTGAAATGTCACCACTGGAAAGTGAATAGTCTTATGGGTGATATAATGGAGATATAATGTTGATGTAACTTATGATCCAGTCAGGATGGCTGACAAATCCAGCCACAGGTGTAAATGCTTCTGGAAATCACGTATGTGTTTGCATATACTGAGCACAAGAAAACACTCGTGTTTCTAGTGCATGAGTTCCATCTAAATTTAATACTTTTTTACTGCGAGGGTGATTTACGAGTGGCTTTGGAGTCTCCATCATTGGAGATAGTCAAAACTTGACACAGCACACTGCTCTGGCCGATCCTGCTGGGGTAGGTGTGTGGGGTGGATTGGGTGATTCAAAGAGGTCCCTTCCAACCCAAACCATTCTGTGATACCTTTTTCTTTTGAGGTGAAATGGTAAACATAAATCTGAGCTTTGTTCATGAGGCTGCAAGGCTGCAGACAGTCTTGGATCAATCAATTGCAGTACTTCAAGCAAATGGAAAAAAATTTAATATTATTTACTCAGGGTGCATAAAAACAAAATTTGCTTACAGTTTGTAAATAATCGACTGAATATCTGTGCTTGGAATTGTTACAGGCATCTTATTTATCAGCTGAGGAAGGAGGCCTTTACTTTTGTTTCTTTTCACAGTAAAATGAGGTTATATTCAATGATTCTAGCCTCTCTAACTACTTGGAGAAAGAAATAATATGATGCGAGAAGATAGTACAGACATCAATTCAAAAATAACTTCCTGATTACAACTGTTGGTTTTAACTGAGAAGGATCATAGTTAATAGGTGTTGTTGAGGCCAAATATGCGAGAGGGAATTGACTTCCAGAAGCCCCAATCTTTTCTACCCTCAAGGTAGTTGCAAGGCAGTCAAACAGAAAGATAGTCTGCTCAGACCAGAATCAATTTATTATATTGCAAACTTCTCTTTAAGTAAAGGTGCCAAAATCCTCCCTTGAAAGGCTCATTGGCATTTGAAACGTGGCTTGATAAAATCTTATGAGAAAAGTATATTCCATTATCTTCTGGAGATGCCTTCACTAACTGTAGCAGAAGCATAGAACACAGATTTAGGGAGTGTCCCAAGCTTTCAGATAAACTTTTGTGAGCTGAATCTCACAATAAAGGACACAGATAAGCATTGTATGAGCAGTTATCCTGCATAAACTTTCTCTCTAACTAAAGAGTATTGGGTCTGACTGGGATGGAGTTACCTTTCCCCATAGCAGCCCTCATAGTGCTGGCACTACCTCTTGGACACGGGGGAAGCTTCTGGCATGTTCTCACTTAAATCACCCCTGTAGCCCCCAGGCTACCAAAACCTCACCATGCAAACCCAGTACATAAGGTTAGTGATCTGAAGATCTCATTGACTTTGGAATCTCAGACATGAGCAGTAGCCAAAAGCAACCACTGCCATGGCTGTAGTTAGCTTTATAACCTCAAGATTAAAGGTATTTTGTGGTGTTTTGACAGTGCATTTGAGACATAAGCGTAATGGAAAACATGGGTTGTTAAGGAGTAATTGTGTTCAGGCCCAGTATAGCACTCAGAAATGTGTTTTGGCTGCTCTGCTGGTAATGGGTGAAATCTAAGGAGAGAATTTTCTCTAGTACATTACATATATCTGGTCTTTGGATATACTACATCTTTCCCAGTATTCCTCTTATGAGTGTAATGGATAACATACTTAGAGAAGGATGTTTGACAGACAGCTTCTTCAAAGCAGCATGGTGAAAAAGATTGGATTGTTGACATTGAAATTAATCTATTTTACTCGGCTTCTCCTTGGATGGGTGAGTTGTGTTCTACTGGTCGTTGTATTGTAGTGCTTTAAACAGTAATGTTTTGAAAGATGAGACTAGCTATGAATAGAAGATAATACAATGAACTGATTTCTTTGGTTTTATTCTTCCAGTTGCTTTTTATTATGGAGGTGCCCTTGGAAGCAAGGAAGATGTGTGTACATTGACTCAAAAACTTCATTTTCAGTATCTGCTTTTTACATTATCATTTAGGTGAATGTGTAATGTAGGCTCATTAGCCCCTCCTTAGGCACTTTTCTGAGTTTGCCTTAGATCAGTACCAGACATTATATTAAATTCTGGATTTTTAGGTTGACATACAATAGAAGATGGAAATTCAGACCTCAGTAGTCCTGATTTTTGTTTTCCTAAGCTCACTCTCTGCTTTTCTCCAGGGTGATGAAATGAAGAAAACGGGTATTCAGCCTATTCCTATGATGGACAGAGACAAGAAAGATGAAGTCCCTCAGGGTCAGGTATGAACTCTCTTAGTTAAATGATGTGTTTATAGTGTTTATAAAACACATATGAGAAAAACTCTTCCTCTAAGTGGATGGACCACAAGGTAGGGATTGGGGGAGCGAAGTCCTTCCCACTGTCAGCAAAGATCAGATTCCTGACCACCTGAGGAACCTGAAAATTCAGAAGTCTATGGGACCAGACGAGATGCCTCCCAGCACAAGAAGTGAACCCCATGAAGTTCAATAAGGCCAAATTTAGGGTCCTGCACCTGGGTCAGGGCAACTCCCGGTATCAATACAGGCTGGGGGATGAAGGGAGCGAGAGTAGCCCTTCTGAGAAGAACTTGGGGGTACTGGTGGATGAAAAGCTGCACGTGAGCCAGCAATGTGCACTGGCAGCTCAGAAACCCAACTGTATCCTGGGCTGCATCAAAAGATGTTTCTCTTTTAAACACAATAAGTATTGTTCCAAGGTCTTCATCAGGTTCTTTTTTACTTTGTGCTCTGTTTCATGCTTAATAGTATAAGAGTAAAATATTAAGCATGATAGGACATTAAAAGCCAACTTTGGTAGTATATTTGTAGCTACTGTATCTACCATGTTACAGCAAAATGTGAGATTTAGGACATATTTAATTCTGTGAAAGTAACCATTCCTGTATTTATGTAGAGACTGAAGACTTTAGTAAAGTATTATCATCCGTTTCCTTGGGCTGTAACAAAAAGCATTAATGAGTATTTTTATGTGGATTTTAATTAAAGCATTAATACCTTATTTGAATGACAATTATGTTTAGGAAATGAGGATTTGTATAAACATGTAATCTCTGAAAAAACCTATTTCTGCCTCAAGTACTCATCTTTGAGAATATCTTGTGCTTAGCTCTTCCTCTTGAGTGGCTGGATCAGTTGGTGACTGTTGAGCTTTACACCCTTTGCAGCACAACTCATGTAAGGTCTCTGAGCTTGGCGTGTTACTACTGTGGAGCCTGCACTGAGAATTTTTTTCTGATTCAGCAAGGATCCCATCACCCTCTTTTCTGCCCCTCCTTTTGGAACATGTGAAGAAAATAGAAATGACAAAACTATGCAGTGGCCTGAAAGCCCTTTTAATAAGGAAGTCAAGCCATCTTGAGTAATGAAGGGAGAGAGAAGGAACAGTTCACGTGCTTCAGCCATTTAGCTTACTCCAGAAATATAATTTTCAAAATGAAAATAAAAAGTTTACTCTTATGCAGCAAGGGTTAAAATCTTAAAGGTGCTTTATTACTTCAGTCAGAAAAAAAGATACCCTCTAGTTCTACTTGTTTATGCATCTTTAGGATAGACATACATTGCCTCTCCTGCAGTGATCTCAATAATTTGCTCATACCTGAGTGACCACTAGGCTTTCTCTCTAGCCACAGCAACATAAAAATAAATCTGGAATAATTTATTCAGGTAATCTAAACCTTTTACAAAAGGGATTTGTTTGAGTTTGCTCTGGTCAGAAATGGAAACTCTCACAAAGGAATGTTTTTAATAAGCTTGGCTTTATTCAAAACCTAAATCCATTGAGCCTTTTAGGGTTTTTTCTCCTTGATTGATGTACATTTTAGCTTAAAAGCTTTCAGGACCTTCAAGGACACATTTTATTATAAATACTGGGGTTCCAAAGAGAAGATTGTTTGGAATATATTGCAGATGAACTTAGTTTGGTTGAATTCTTTCATGTTTTGCGATGGCAACACATTTCTCATTGAGCCAGAAGGTCTACAGTGTGACTGTACCTAAGCTCCCATTTTAATTTTTAATAGCTATAGGTAATGTGCTATACTGCAGTGAAACACAATAGTCCCCCTTAAAAGCAAACAAACAAGAAAAAAAAAAAAAAAGAAAAAATACAAGAAAAGAACATAAGAAAACAGTGCACTCTGCAGAACAGCAAGCATTTTGTTGATAAGCAGACATCACAGCTGAGTGCAGCCTTGCCTTCTCACCAGCTGCAGTTTCTTTCTGTTGGTTACATCACGGTTACTTCAACTCAGACTGTTGGGTTCTCAGGTCAGAAAATGTATCTTATTTTTTAAAAAGTACAGAATGGACTTGGTTATGTAGCACTAGGGGAGGAATCTCGGTGTTAATGGAGGTGATGTCTGAATAAGGGCCAATGTTTAGGCTCTTAAAAAGATTTATTACCAAATGCTTTGGTCACAGTACAATACATGGCATTTCACTAAAAGATATTTAAGAACTCTACCCAAAGAAAAGGGATCATAGTGTGCTACTGTAATTATTATGAGAGTCTGGTATAAATGAGTGATGTTATAATGGATCTGAATTTTACCTGTCATACTTGCTAATAAAGAAGTAACATTTTCTAAAAATTCCCTCATGTCATGACAATTTAGCTGTGACATGGTAGCTGTCATAGGCCCCTAAGCCTGTATGAATCAGATATCATTAAAAAGGTGCTCATTTGATGTTCTCTAAATAGATTTATATGATAATGGTAAAAATATATCACTGAACCATATACATGAAAAGAAATTGCAAACCAATTATGGATCACAGTGCACATCTTTTAAAAACTTTCCAAAGGTGCAAAGCCCCTACCAGCTCAAGTGAATTGAGCTATGGCATACATACTCTGGAGGACATCAGAGCAATCCACAATCTGATCATATTTTGGGCAATGTTGCACAACTTTACTTTTTAAAAAAAAATTTTGATCACAAGAAGAATGTTTGCAGAAATGGCTCTGCGATCTGAACCTACTTCTTGCCACTACTGACACCAAAAACCCAGATGGATCCTGAGTAAGTCAACTGAATCAATTGGATAAGAAAAAGTCCTGTAGAAAATCCTGCCTGAAGCAGCTGTATTAGTCATAAAACAGAGGCAGGTAAGCAACTTGCAGTTGGCAGAGACTTCACTGTTAGTGTTTCATTTTAAAGTATTCAGATATTAAGAGGAGGTGCAGAAGTATGAATTATAACATAAGCAGTAATTAAGTCAGTAGTCAGCAGCTTTGAGATAGTTGGCTGATAACTTTCAGCATTGTAGTTTGGCAACATTTAACTTTTTTTTTTTTTCATTGTTGTTTTTCATAGATTGGGTTCTACAATGCTGTAGCCATCCCATGTTACACCACTCTTGCACAGATCTTTCCTCCAACTGGGCCACTACTCCGAGCGTGCAGGTGAGTAAATGTGCAAACTTTTGCACAGCATGGAGCTTGGTTAAAAAGCAAACGTGTTTTGCAAGTTTGTCTGGAAATACAGACCTTTAATTTCAGAATTTACAAGCAGATAAACAGGGATATGCATCTCGCATTAATCTATGCAGAAACCCAGAGGCAATAACTACTGTCTGGGACTATCCAATGCAGATCTACAGACACAGCTGATTAAAATGTATTTGACGCTTAAAGCTCTTAGACAGAAGCTGGCTCAGTGCTTACATATCCCTATTTAGGCTGGTTCAGTGCAATTTCCCTCTGTGTCCTTTTTACTTCAACATGGTTCTCACAACTAAGATTGGCTAGAATTCTGTTTCATTAAAAAAATGTGGTTTTGACATGTTTTATTTCATGTCATTATAAAAAACCAGGAAAAGAAAGATCCCTGGAGTATTCAGTAATCGGGAGTGTAAGAGTAGTGCCACTGGGAGGTGAGAGAGGCAAATGTAACTTTGCCCTATCAAGCAGTTGGGATGTAGTTTAGGATTTTCTGAAGGAGAGGAAAGAGTCCTTAATTGGCTCCTTCTACCCTGGAATGATGGTGGTTCTCTTTGTAGGTAGTTCGGTCAAATAATCATAACCTGGACTTTAGCAATCTTTTCCGACAACACTTTTATTGAAACCAGTATGCTTCATGAAAATGTTCCAGTTTCAGGTTAATCAGTATTCTCTAAAGAAAAACAGTTGGTTCATACAATACCAGCGAACTTTATTCAGGGCCTATTATTTTTCTATGCTCTTACTTAGCACCTCTCTCTTTTTTTTTTTTTTCCTCTTGTCGTTCTTAAATTCTAGCTTGCATTGAACTTTTTCTTTGTCCTGTAAGGCAGATCTACCTACTATGTCACTTTTCCGATCCTGTGGACACAGATCTGTGTGAAGTAACAGAAGGGTGCCCACTAAGTACAAAATGCTATGAAATTTTTGCATAGTGGTTAGCAAAAATAATTTCATTTGCACCCGAACAGTGTTTCATATAGCTATGAGAAGAATATGTAGGTCTGGACCAGTGGGACAGAGGACTATCTCATGTGAAACAGTGACTATCAAGGAGCCATCATTAATAACAGTCAGTTGCTCTAAGGTCCTGCTGCTGGGCATGGCTGTGCAACCCTTAGATGGATATGGAGGGAATATTAAGTAGGATTAGAGACTAAACCTCTGCAGTTATTACATTAATGGGGCTACAGCTGGAATCCTGTTTAGCATCTGTGCTTTAAGAAGAGTAGATAAAGACACTAGCAAATAAGATTAAGAAAGAGCTTAAAGAATATTTTGAGACCTTAGTAGTGAGAGACTAAAAAAATCTGACATGATCTATTTAGTTTATCCGAAAGGATGAGTTTTTCAGAATCTGTAACTTTCCCATAATATGTTTTCTGATCAGACAAGGCTCATTAATTTAGCAGGTAAAGACTACTTGAAACCCAAAGGTGCAAACAAGTAATATAGTGAACGTCTTTTTTAGCATTTGGAATAATGTCAGTTGAAGATCTTAAGCCAAGGCTAGGTATACTTTTTAAAAGAGAGGGGTAAAAGGGATAGGGGTCTGAGACACAGTTACTGAGAGGAAATTGCCAAGGCCTGTCTCCTCCAGGCCCTCAGGCTAGGTGATCTTTATAGTTGTGTCTTCCGTCCTTAGAAGCTATGAAAGTAACAATGTCTGGTAAATAATAAGCAGTAATTTGTTATCCTAAATTGAGTAATGTGGAAGTATTCATAAGTGCATATTTTAGTGGTTCTATCAGTTACAGTATAGTATTAAACTCTTCTCGAGTTTCAAAATGCCATGGAGTGTGTTACTATCATAACTGTATCGAAGTCCAAATCGTGATTTGGAGTTTTAGTGCGGGGTAGGAATATGTACTCCTTGAGCCACATTGACCTAATATGTACATGTTGATAGTTTGAGTATAGATAATTGAATAATGTGTACTCTGACAAATAAAGAAGAGTTGCTTTCAGTGTGAAATTAGAGAACATGAAGTAAACTACAGAACTGCTTGTAATCCTTTCAGTCTTTACGAGGTTGTAACTCACCCAACTGCTTTACTGAGGGGTAGTCTGAGATCTTGGAAGTTTTCTAACTTCTTCCTCTTTGTAATCCTTGCATGAAGGCAGCTAGTTGCAGCTGTATTGATGGCTGAAAGCTAAGTGGTCGCTTATTCGATCCATGTAACTGGAGCATAGGTTGTGCTTTGCGTAACCGTGTTTTCAGTCAGAAAGATTTCTACACTGTTTACCTGGACTGAACAGCATCAACCCACCCTCAGAAATGCAGTAATGCTTATCATGAGTGTTTCCAGTTACTTGTTTCTACTCAAGCAGATGCAGAACTGGGGCATAGATGTCTGGATGGGGTTTAAGATCTCCATAAAGCTAGAGCTTCCTGATAAACCACACCCTGGCACAAAGTCTTCTGAGGAGCACTTTGATAGTTTTAGCTTAGCCTTGAAATTACCCTCTGCTGTCTGTCTGAGGGGCTTGAGGAGGTGTTGAGAGTTTGGACTTGGAGATGCAGAGTAGGAAACCAAGAACACAGATCTATCTTCAACTCCCCAGTTACTAAAATGTATGTTATTGCAGGGTTTAGGTTACTCCCGAGTGTTTCAAATAGCTGATTTTGCACCACATTTTCTTTCCTTTATTTTTCACGGGTAACTTTTGTTCAGTGTGATGAGAGGAATACAGCCTTATTCCTGTTTGGTATTGCCTCAGCTACTGACTGAACCCATTTTGATATCACCCTTTCACCAGCTTGTTCTTGGAAAGCAGTGTTTGAGAAGCTAAATTGTTTGGAACACAGAAACCAGCTGCAAATAATAACAGCAGAAGCACCCAAGACAGCATGTCAGCATCCAGGTTTTACTTTTGAGAGCCTCTGGGCATTTATTCCAGACACTTAGGAGCCAGGGAGGAGCCAGGGCTTGATTGGGAGCACAAAGGCAAATGAAGTGTATTATCTACATCTTTAAAAAAAAAAGTGTCAGTCACTGATTTCCCTGAGGTAAGGCAGCTAAGAATCCAGAAGGTTTTATTGTCCTGTAATTTATTCCACATTTTTAAATACTGTCTTATCATTCTGTATAGATCAAAATTACCAGCTACCTGTGTTACAGTGTTCAGAATAAATCCTATGTATGTTTTGTAGCACACGTACTTGCTAGGCCTACCAAAGTGGCAAATCTATGATAGCACATTTATTTTGAGTTTGAGATGAAGTGATTTAATTTTCCTATATTTCAGACCAAATAATTTTAAACATTTTGCGATGCGCTTTCAAGTTTTTCAATTCTTGCTGAAACTGATATAATTTAAAAATATTTTGGCTGCGGTTCTCCTCATTACTTTCTCAATTTCAGGAAAGAGACCTAGAAATAGTGACGGTTCTGTTTTTCTGATCCTTATTGCCTGATTGTATTAGCTGATCTTCAGTGCCATATTAACGCTGCCTTCATGACTTCCAGTTGGCCTGGAGCTCTAGCAGAGCAGGTTTCCATCTGTGTGCAGAAAATGGTGTGGGTGTTCCCCTAGAGGGCACCAGCTTTCTTCAGTAAACTCCATCAGATCCTGCCTTCCCCCGTCCCTGGAAAATGCAACATTTTCTCTTCTTACCTGTTTTCTGTGCTTTCAGCTCATTATTTGCTATTTTATCAACTGTTTCAGCAAAGCTGTGACATAAAAATCAGAAGAGCTCTGCCAGTAAATTCCGATGTAATACGATAATATGACAGATAGCATGTAAGACCTTAGTACTTTTACAGTCCTGTTTGTTTACTGAAGACATCTGAGAACTGTTGTTTTAGTAACTAGGTATCTGATAGTATGAAACTGAAACAGTTGAGCTTAATCTGTTTCTCTCTGTATTGGAAGACTGAATGCTAGATTTGGCTGTAGGTCACATGTCTGCTATTGGATACCATCAACACAGGCTTCCCAGTCACTGGAGTGGTATTACTGTACAGCAAGTAAAATTATGGGGCTGAACTCCCTTCAGATCATTAGAACATTGCGAACTTAATTTCTCATCATTTTATGGCTTGGGAACCAAAATTTGGACTTGGGGGAAGGCCAGGCTGTGAGGCAGTAAAAATTTCAGTCTCAAGGGATGGGTACTCTTTAAACGTAGTATATGAACAGTATGAACACCACATTAGTAACTGAAAGCTGATATTCTGATGTTGGCATGCAAGGTTTCATACATGGTTAGGCAGCCTGCGTGCAGGAGTTTCAGAAGGCTTAATGCCCTTCTGTTGTTTCCAATGAAGGAAGTTTCCTGGCAAAAGTCCTGGTCTCTGTGGTGGTTTTGAAAAGGGCCAGAGTCTGCTGTGGTGAAATCCCTGAAGTCCAAAGTGAGGAAGGCCGCTTGTCTCCAGGCTTGTTGTTTCAGAGTCTCTACAGACATGTCTCTCTTGGGTCACAGCTGAATTTTCTCTGCAGCCATGAGGGCTAGAAATTTCTAGAGCGGGAATCTTTAGGTTCAGGGCTTGTTCTGGGGAAGGTATGCCCTAGGCTTATATACAGTCAACGTATATGTATATGAGCCACACAGGATTACAAAATGGGCTAACTGAAGGTGAAGGATGAAATAATGTAAAGATGATAAAAGCTTGGATGATATGCAGGTAGTGCATAAAACTACTTCTCAAGTACAGTACAGCAGACAGTATTGTTAGGAAGAAATCCCAATAGACTTATGAACAATGCTTTACCTCTGTGACTTTTTTGCATCTGCAGGGACAATCTCAACCAATGGGAGAAAGTAACAAGAGGTGAGGAAGCATCTATATGGATTTCCTCCCAGTCCCATGCTCCTGGGACCTCAGATTCACTTCCTGTGAAGATTGATGACTGAACAGCAGTAACAAATTGCTTTAACCTGAAAAGCATCCCCTCTTTTTGGGGGGGTTGTTGTTTTTGTTTTGTTTTGTTTCATTTTTATTTGGAAAAAAAAAAAAAGAGGAAAAAGAAAAGCTACAAAATGCTAAGAAGCAGATCTGCCTAGGAAGGTAACACCCATGGAGTTACCTCGGCTAAATGACTCTGGCAGCAAATCTCCTGACCTACACCAGTGACACAATGTGAACAGAGGGAAAATGACAACCCAGATGTTTTGGAATCAGCTATCAAAAAAGAACTTACGACTTGTGAATATAAAAGACTGGCCTTATCTCATGGGCTACATTGCTGAGGCCTTAATTTAAAACTCATGGGGGGCGGGAGGGGAGGGAACTTAGGGGGTACTTCTAAATTGTATCTTTCTAGTAAGGGTTTCAATGGTACTTTTATTATACCGTACTGTGGCTGGCTTTAACACCAGTGTCACTTGGGAGTTCTTGGCTATAAATAGAACAATATACCCATTGCTGTCGTGAATGTTTATGTGTGATCTACTTGTAATCAGTTTGAACTCCAGCAGAATCCTTGGCAACTGTAATTCATGCTTAGGTTACAGTGAATTCTCTTGCTGCAAACTAAAGGAAAACCAACATTCAGGTTAAAGGTTTAAAGTACTTCATTAAGTATCGTGATACAAGTTGTCTGTCAGTCACAAGGCAAACATTGAAAGAACTAGTGATGGTGCTTTGTTCTTCAGAATGATTTATAAACCTAGACAACTCCTCCCTTAAAACACTGGAAGTACTGGATATTTATCTCCGATATGACAGAGAGTATCACGTTGGGGATTTTGTATCCATAGTGACATAAGTATCAGATTAAAATTAAAATTTAAATGTGACAGCAAAGATTTCCTTGCCTAGCTCACAATTAAGTACAGTCATCATTTTTATTTCTACCTGCTGAGTTGTATTTTAAAAGGTATTAGAAACATACTTGAAGTATGCTCTCTGCTGGGAACAAAAGCCTTGTCAGAAAGGTCAGGTATGATAAGAGGGATTGTGGTACCATCACAATAAATCAAAAATGTTTTTGTATTCACTAGCTTTTGTGTTGCACAGTAACACTGCATGTCTTCTACTGCTCTTTTTCCCCATCCCAACAGAAGTGAAATTAGGAAAATTCTCCGTTTGTCTGTTTGTTTTTTTCCCCTAGTTTAGCAAAATTTCCAGGCTTAGAACTGCCTTTCTCAGAGAAAGAATAACTGACTGAAGAAAAGTACTCTAAAATATTGTGTTTACAGTTCTGTGCTGACTTAGGCTTCAGCCTTACAAACTTATGCACAGATTTTAAGACCTTACATTCAATGCCACTCTTAAATTTAGTGCAATTGTACAGAGTATGTTTCAACAACACTTAATTTGCCTTCCATCTTTCACTTAAAAATAATGAGAAAAAAAAAGTCTTCACATTAATCCACACAGTAGGTGAAAACACAGTCTTTGCATACCTTTCACATACAGCCTATACTGCACTATATGCTATTTCACAGATAATAGTGGTTCCGTGATAACATGCCATTTGTGTAACTGCAACAAATAATAGTAGTGACTTAAAGACAGAGAACAGGTTGTCTTTTTCTATGTCGCGTCTGTTGAGTTGTATCGCTCTAAGAAGCATGCCATCTTATGGGTTTCATGTAAATGACTTGGACTTTTGAGTTTTGCCTTTTGTTATGGTCGAGCACATACCAGTATCTGTACGTGTGTACAGTATGTGATACGTAATCACATAATATATAAATGCACCTAAGCCTTTGCAGTAGATAGATACCCCAGAGGTTGAGAACTCAATATAAAGTTGTCTTATTTGTATGATATGTTCCTAGCAGCAGCCCCATTATTTTTTTGTCAGTTTGCTTTACCAATTCTAAGTGCAGAAATTAATGTTTGCTGCAGCAAACTATTTTGGAATAAAAAAAATGGCAGGAAACAATTACACCAAAGTAGAATCAATAGTGTCTCACGCTGTGTCCTCTGCTTTAATCCTTAGCAGTTCTAACTAAATCATGTAGATGCAACCTTTCATCCACTAAGTGCTTGAGACAGTCTACTATTCCTAATTTACATGGAAATTCTCCAAATCTATGGTGACTACAAAAATACTCTGGAATGGAATGTTTTTCCTTCATGGGTAAAGTATATTTGCTGTTATTCTTCCTCTTTGAATGCTAATCTTACAAGCATTGCAAAAATATTCCTTATCACACTGTGTCTGAGTTATGGAAAACTTTTAATTCATTGTTTATCCATTGACAGTAAACATAACTTCACTAGTTCTGTTACTTAACATTCAAAATATTAGCAGTACCACATAATATTTTATATTTTGAAGTTTATAAGTACTGATACAGAATATGTTATCCTAAAAAATTTGTCAAATTGACAAAAAGTTGCTCTATTAAGTCAGCTAGGTATTGTTTCTGATACAGAATTATCCAAACCACATAAAATATATGTTTGCTATAGTACAATGTCCACTAGAAGTAAAAATTTTGGTTCCAGTGGTTGTGGTTTGGTTTGTTTTCCTGTTGTGAAAAAGAAAGGTCATGACAAAATGTTACTTTTTGTTAGCACCTAGACCACCAATGACAGCCACAATGGGCTGTCTATTCTAAGTGAATCAAGCATTTACAGAGTGCAGAGTGCATTATTTTTGTTAATAATTCCAATTATTTTTCCCTTCTAAGCCCAGTAAAGGTAAAAGGACAGTTTGAAGCCATATCTGAGCATTTCTAATGTATTATGAGATGGTGCATGAAAAGTATGGACTAAGTGAGATAAATAGGTGACATAGCATGATACTCATATGAGATATTACATATTTTATTATAGCACTGACAAACTCCATTGGTATAATTAATCTCTGAATTTTGTACAGTAGTGCAACGTTCTGCTGCAATGGTTCAACTCATGGCAGTATTTTATTTTTTTTTATATATGACCATTAGAGAAATGCAAAAGTGGTTGTTGTTTTGTTTTTTTTTTAAGTTGGATTATATGATAAAAAATTTTTAGCTTGGAGAGGGCATGCAGTGTGGAATTCATCTTTTTATGTGGCACAGACTTCTTCCATGTGTTTAAACTTAGAACAGTGTGATCAGTTTGCTGTGACTGCATTTAGAGCATTTAGTGTTAAAATTGTAGGGATAGCAAACAGCGCTGTCCATGTTAAAAAATAGAGATTGTTAGGCGCTCAAAACAATTATGACCCTCTTAAAATAATGCATTTGCCTCAAACACTGTGATATAGGAACAACTCTGTGCAGCGGAACGATTAATGTTGTTCATACTAAACACAGGAAAGGCTTTCTGCACACTACTATGAGGAAGTTCACGTTCAAACTTTAGGTTCTGTATCCCAATCTAGCAAAGGCACATCACAACTCTTGTTTTGCTTTCTGACCAAAAACTGTGCTCGATTGTAATACGGGTGTATACTCTGTCAAAAAAACCTAAAATAACGGACTGCTTTCTAGGGTAGATCAAACTGATTTGTAGAGTAGATTCATATATATTCAAAATTCAGGTTGGGCTGTTATGTGAAGAAGAACGAACTTCAAGGTAACAACATTCAACTTTACTACATTTAGTGAGCTGAAAAATTTGTTTTATATATATATATATATTTACACACACATATATATATATATGATACATATAAACTATCTTTGTAAAAAAAACAAAAAAATATGCAAGTGCAATAATTTAAAGAGGTCTTAACTTTGCATTTATAAATTATAAATACTGTACATGGTGTGTAATTTTTTTCATGTATTCATTTGCAGTCTTTGTATTTAAAAAACAAACCTAAACCTTTACTATTACGTTTGTACAATAGAACAGTAAGCATTTATTATGATATAGTTAAGTTGTAAATAAATTCACAAACCAAACAGCCAGTACATATGCATATATGGGTGTCCTATTGTGAAACCTGTTTTTGCTTTTACTGCTGGCTTGAGCACAGCAACACTACTTCTGTGGATATGTAATTATACATATAAATATATGTATGATACATAAAATATATTTAGAAATGTTCATAATTTTAATGGATATATCTATACATATACTTTGGTGTGAATATTGCTGAATACAGAGTTTTTTTTAATATTATTTTTCATGTTTATTTTTGCTATTATTGGGAGTGGAAGTGAGGGGTGGAAAGTGTGTGTGAGTGTGTTTGTGTGTTTGTACCACAAGTAATCCACAGGAGAAACAGAATCAAACCATCATGCATTCCTTTAAAAAGGTAGTGCCTGTTTTGCCCTGTAATTGCAGTTTACTGCTTATGGTGTGTTTTCCCAACATAAATTCATTATTTGAAAAAAAATAAAATTATCACCTATTGCAAGTTCACATCATTGTGGACTGCAAAGGGATCTGCTTTCCCATTTTTCTTCCTGCTGCCAGAGAGCTCGCTGTGCTGTTGACAGATAATTCCACACAGATCCTTGCTTTGCCGCTGTCAAACGGCAGGACAGCTAGTGCGGAATCTCTTCCTACCTTTTGGGAATTATGGAGATACTCAGGTGTTGAATTATAGAAAAATAATCCTGCACCCAAATTTTTATGGTTTGGTAGTCCTAAGTGGTAAAGGACTTTGACAGCTACCAATACCCTGAAAATATAAGGTAGGTTGAGAGAACTGAACAGCAAAGTTCTGAACAACCCATTAGCAGATATTTATAAAATTGGTAACCAAAAATGGGAAGGAGGGGGAGAAATAATCCTGTGTATTAATCTACCTAATACACTGATTTGCTTCAAAGATGTCTTACGCTGTTCTTGCTCTGTAAACAGAGTATTCATTGTTTACAGACCTGAGAGTGGCCTTGTGTCTATGACTGCATGACCCTTCTGTTCTCAGAGAAAGACGTTGAGCCTGGGATAGAAAGGTCTACCTGAGCTGTGTCTCCAGTTCTCAGCATGGCCTCCAAGTGTTCCTGGTCTCCCTCCTCACCGAAGGGACTCAGCATTGCTGGGATTACTTGTCCAGAAGCAGTGTTTCCAGGGCAACTGTTTCAATTTAACTACTGCATGCAGTTGTCAAAACCAAGTTTTACAAAATGTACCTAGGTTTGTGCTGTTGTGACCAGCCCTTCCAGAGAACTCTGTTTGCTGCAAGGCACGAGCTGCTGGGGCTAACTTTTGTCATGAAACAAACTGAGCTGACGTAATTTTTGAGGAGCTTATTCATTTAAGTTAAAACTTTCCAAATTATTTTGAGGGACAGGCAATACAAGAGGAATGTTTCTGTGACTACTATTAATTTGGTCCTTTCCACCTGTTCCTACATTGTTGGCAAGGAACTGTAGGCTGAACTCAATTAATGAATTTCTGGTAAAGGTTTTCAAATCGATGGCAGTCAATATCACATGCCTTTTCATATTTTTCTGTTTGTCATGCAGACCTAGCTCTTGTAGCACAGCACGGTGCTCTGTACTGAGGGTCACTGCGCAGTCGATATGCTTTCTTTAACATTTTTAGCCCTTTGGTATTGAAAAACATTATCACAGACTTAGAAAAATCAACCCATCAATGTACTCCCTCAGAGATATTTGAAAATGTAAATGTAAAAGCACCTTAACTGAAACTCATTTAAGTTTGGGGAGAAAAGGAGTATTTCTGTTGGTTTTGAGGAACTTTGAATTAAGCTTATTTGAAAGTATCCAAGTGCTCAATAAGATCCTGTGCTCATTTGAGTCAATTGTAAAGGACAGAGACTTCAATGGATTTCACCCACTCAACAAGTGTTGGAGGTTACTTTGTTGTACTTATTTTGAAGACAATTACTAAGGAGAAATTCCCCTTCCTCACTCTGTAGTCCCTCTTCCTCAGATTAGGGAGGAAAGATTTTTTTCAGTATGTTTCAGTAACGCTCTAGGAAAAGCTACCTGTACCGTGGTGTTGCTTACAAAGAAGATGATCCTTGTCTCCAGTTCAGGAATGAGTTACAGAGAAATGCTTCAGAAGGTGGTTGGTATGCACATAAGACCTGTTGTTTAACAGTCTTCTAAAAGTAAGTGGAAACCTGAGACTCAAGAACTTTGAGAAGATGAATTATACCAGGTAAAGTTTTCCTTTCATGGGTTTTTGGGTTTTGGTGGTTTGGTTTTTTTTTTGGTTTGTAACATTGCTGTAAGCCCTGTGAATATAGGTGAGGATATGATGTTTGTAGAGCTACTTCTGCTCCTTGAGCTGTATTTATGCTACTTATGGAAGCAACGTAAGTTGTTAATGAACACTATTTAACAAATATATGTAAATGAGAAAACAGGGCTTGTAAAATACAAAAACAAAACAAAAAAAAACTAACAAAAAAAGAAACTTTTGGAAGCACCTAAGAGAGTCAGTGTCTGTCAGAAGCCTTTGACAATTTTGCCAATGTTAGTAGCAGTGGTGAATGTGGTACAGTGGTGAATAGTGGTAGTTTGGAATTAGTGCTGATGACAAGTTGATCATTGAGAAAAGTGGTATGAAATTCCTCCTCCTGTCCCCAGGAGAGCATTGCCATCAAAGCCTAGATATCTTTTATTGGTGATATACCAAAAGCAGTAGTGAACAAAGTGCCTGGTCCATCAAGCGAACCTAAGGAACTTCTACGTGGTCTGGGACTTGGAGCTAATCCAGGATGTCTGCTAATATAGTTTTGCTCTGTTAATGCATAAGGACAGCAGTCTTTGTTGAGTTTGTTCTAAACTTTTGCAACACCAACAGATCAGAGGGAGCCAACCTAGTGCTTAGAGGTGGTTGCCATTCTGAGCTGGTGAGGCATCAGTTGAAGACATTTTGTGTCCTTCACCACAACGCATGTGAACCCTAAGACCACCACTCTCAGGAAAGCAAGATGTGCTGTGCTGCAGACTTAAAGGAAAGCTTCACACAGGAAAACTGACATGCAAGAGTCTTGTGTAGTTGCTATCTGAAAGCTTCTAAATTGATTCCTTCTAATCATTAAATAGAACCCGCTAATAAGGTTGGCGAGTTCCTCATTTTCTGCCTTTTTCCTTTCTGTTCTTTTTTTGTTTCTGTTTTGTTTCTGTTCTTTCCTGGTAAAGCAATTTCTTTTTTTCTTTCACCTTTGAGAACTGCATGAGTAAAACAGGCTGCCATCTCTATGGCCTATTCTACCCCCTCTATTTCTGTGGTCTGAATTAATACCCAGTGATGGGGAATTCAAGCTGTAAAGCTGTTCTGCAGGGTTCTCTTTCCAAGGTTTATTTAAAGCACAGAGAACAGGGTGTGTACCAAATACTGAGTTAATGGGCTGGAATTGTGGAATGAGACCTTAGTTTCTTTCTGCCCTGAGAGTAACAGTTTCATGCAGTACTACATGCCTGAAAAGCCTGGAATGAAGTAAATGCTGTGGCATGTCTGGGTAAGGTGAGGCCAGAACTAAAGTGGAAGACCAGCTCTGCGTATGGGAAAAGTTCTCTCATCCACTGGCCGGCCAAAAGTAGAGAGGCTACTGCTAAGTAGGGAGTAGTAGGGAGGCTACTACAAAGTAGGGAGTTGCAATCTCACCTCCCCAGTATTCCCACACACCAAGTTTTGCCCTGAATTGCACAATGGCCTTTCAGGGACTCACCCTCTGCCTCACAGCAGCGTAGTGTGACGCTTATCATGCAGAAGAGCTTTCTGAAGTGCTTTGAACTGCTTTACACAGAGTTGGCATCAATGAAACGAATGAGGTTGGGAATCCTGGTGCTTTTCTTTTGAAGCTGAAGCTGTATTACAGATCTGTTTAGGAAGTGACAAGAAAGGGCTACCAGAGTGAGATCAAGAGGGTTTTTCATTTGCAAGACCCTTTACCAATTTCCTGAGTTTAGTTAATCCTGCATAGCCTATGTCACAGATTAAGTCATTTCTGTCTCTTACTGGTTTTGCTGCTAGCAGTAAAACCAAGCAGAGTTTGCAGAATTTTGCTTAAACAAAATTCTTCCACTTCTGTTTGGTATTTAACCTTAGTCTGACAAAGCACTTCTGACACTGATTGAGTTCCCCCTCGCCAGTAATACTGATGCTACAGGAAATGCTGTGGCAGACATTCACATGGTAAACAGGAAAAACTTTTTTCTCATTTTTTCAACTGAGCCATGTACCAAGAGAGGATCTGTGTCATCTTTTTCAGTTAAGTGAGTTGATATAGGACATACCATGGAAGACTGGAGCAGAACAATTTTTCTTTAGCAGATGTAGGAAGGCTTTGTCTCAATGACTTGTCATGAATGTTTTTGCTCTGTTTTAGTAACAACTCTACATTTTAAACAAGAGAGTCCAGTGACTGAGAATTCTGTAATTTAATGTTTATGCTGCTACAGCCACGGTTAATGAGGTTCACACAGCCTGGAAGTGTCTATGATCTTTATAGGGTAGGCTGATGGCTGTAACCTATTTTCTCTCCTTCCATAAGTGACATTACTGCCATCCTTGTCCTGAACTGAAGAAGATACTGATAAACCTCAGCAGAGAGAGAGGACAGGCTGGGACAGACTGGATTCTCTTCCTTCCTAGAGCTTGTCTTAGGAAGTTATCCTGCAGATACATTGGTTGGGAACATCAGTTTCCCTAGTGTTACTTCCACCTTGGAAAACAAAAAAATGAAATAAATAGAATATGCCACATTCTGCTATAAGATTAGAAACCAAATATGAACTGTGTAATTCTTCACGTGACCTTGCAGGTTTGGGCCAAATCTTTCACATGCTTTCTCATGTTCACATACATAAAAGCACACATTTTTAAAATGCATGGTTATCCCACAGCCTGTATGGTTCTCCAGCGCTATACCCACACTGCATTCGGGGTCTGTTTCAAACACAAGTAGCCTGGGAGGAAAACGTAACATGCTGTAATTTCTACATGCCAAGAAATGGTAAGAGGGAGGAAGTGCTTGTGAGAACTCCATTAGAGAAAGTGATATTTGGGAAAAAAAAGTTTTTACTCTGAGGATAGGTGCATTTAATTTGATCATAAACCACCTAGATACTACTTCTCCAGGTTATATAGACTCCAAATAGCTATTATGATTGTTGGAAATAGTATAATCTCAACATTTATGGTAGCAACAGGCTGGGAACACACAAAAACAGACTTTGTAACTAAACTATGAAAAATAGACTACAAAAAGTAAAACACTGGTGTTTTAAAATGCTGAAATGTTGAGAAATAACCTTCTCAACTACTTTTAGCATGTGCCAGATCCCAAGATTGTTGGAAATGGGGTGTTGGCAGGGCAGGGAAAGCTTTAGGAAAGCTGCAGTCACATTTGTCTCTTGTGGTCACATATGCCTGTGCGGTGCTGTACCTCATTTAGCGCTGGCTGTTTAGAGCGATCTGTCCCAGAAACAGCTCTGCACGTCACTGTCACTGCGTTAATAGGATCGGAGGATGCTCAGAGTGACTGCGAGTTCTCTCTGCCAAGGAAGGGGTAAGTACCACTGGTAAGATGATCTCTGCCAGTCACCAAAACAGCTAGCAGTGGACACAACCGAACCACGTATACCCCTCTGCAGAAAAGACTTTGGTACAGAAGTCTATTGTGTTGCTCATCTCTGCCCTCAGTGTTATTAGTTAACTGGTGGAATCCACAGGAGCAGAGCTGATGTGAAATCCTACCCAAAGGGCCTGAGCCTGCACCGTGTTCCCAAACAGGTATTTCTCTGACTCATAGGGGTGATGAAGCTTGGGTTCCTATGGGTTTGCATTATTATTCTTAGGTTAAAAAATTAAGGTAATTTTTTCTGCTGTTGTTACACATAACTTTGAAATTCTCCTTTGTTTCCTATGACGATCTATCTCTTGCAGTACTTTGGCTGTGATACACAGACTCCCATACTCTATAGAAACTGGCCAACTGAGTGAAAAGTTATGGGGTGAAATCCAGCCCTCTCTAAACAGCCACCTGTTTTATAAAACATGGAACACTGTTATTTTTAAGACTGTTCCCTAATGAAGTTTGGATTAAATTAGCCAATACATTCAGAAGCCTCATGGGAGGAAAATGAAGGCGCCAGGCAGTGGGAGGTCTAGTCTGATATTGCTGGAAAGCCACCTAAGATATCAGGCTGTGCTTCATAGTTTAAACTTAAGACTTTGGACCTGTGGTAAAAAAATAAGATCTATTGAAGCCCCACATACTGTATGTATACTGGCAAACTTTTATTTTTAACATTTCTAATGCACAAACTAAACAATGCAATTCCCCTGCAGTATCTCAGAACAAGTCTGGGCTTAATTTGTATTTCTCCTTAAGATGCATTATGTAGAGATATTTTGCCACTGTCTGCAAGTGTAAAGAAATACTTCTTTACAGATAAGTCTGGGTTTCAAGACTGTGTGCAACAATGCTTTGGACTACCTACAGGTTATATTTCTGGGACAGAAGTGTAATTATGAAATTGGGATGGAGACAAACAACTAAATAGCACATTTTTAAGTCATCTTAGATTTTGGCTTGTTAAGGACTTCTGGTTTTCTTTAGGGGTTTATGTTTAGAAACTCTCTTAAATCTAATACTGGATCCTGCTGGTGTTGACACCACCCTTCCCAATGTACTGGTGAAGCTGCATGGTGGGACTATTGAATAGCTGGACTGCGATGCTGTTCCCACATACTACAAACAGTTTCTGACAGATGTGCTGTATTTTGCCCTTTGTATAAAGCCTGCACTGCACAGCAGACAGGATTGAATTATCCCAGTTTTATGGTAAGCCTCCCTCAGCCTCCTGTGTTTTCCTCTCTGCACCCTAGAGCTTTCAGCTCTGTCATGGTCCATGCCAAAAAATTGGAGCTGGATCCTGGCTGTGTTCATGGAGCGTTTCTACAGAGAGCTCCTGCTGTCACTTTTCTTAAAGACCAGCCTTAAAGGGAAGTTGGAACAGGTGTAAATGCCTAAATTATCATCAGTCCCTAAAGTACAAAGTCCATTTAGCATCTGAAGGTAACAGGGTAATAAATGATGGTTGGTAGTGACCTCAGAAGACCTACTCTAATAATGTAAATACTCTTTTCCCCCATTCCTCAGCTTTGGATCTTGCCTTTGACACAGGAACCTGTCTGAACCTGCTTGGGCCCACTACACACGACCTAGATTACACATCTGGGTCAATGTGGTATCCAGCCTGTTTCAGTGCTGGAGATAATTGAGAAAGAGCCTGCCTTCATCCTGCCTCTTCCAAACACCACGGGGCTGCCTCTGCAGTGCTTAACACAACGGGCCTATGCAGCCTCCGAGCTGCTCTGTGGCTCTGAGCACAAGGTCACTCCAGCTGCAGGAGTCTAGTTCAGGTCCCTCACAGAGTCTTGCAGAACAAATACATCTGACCCATCAAATGGACCCCCTGTCCTCTGGTTGATTGCGTCTTTTTATGTAATATGAAATTAAAGTAAATGGAACTCATGACTGTGACGAAGTGCATACCAACCATAAAATATTTGCATTTCAGGGCATTTGAGGGGAAAGATAATATCCATAAAACTTGTAGCAATAGATCTGATTTCTTGGCAGCCTTTTCTGTTGCTCATTGCAAACAAAAGTCCCACTGTAGCACCAACAGTAATGGAAGGAATGCTACTGCTTCTTTTCCCCTTACACAAACATAGTTTGAGGAGCAGGAGCAATAGCTCAGAGGTAAGAGAGGCTTTGCAGCTTGGTGCCTACATATTTCACTAGTAACAAACCTATATTGACTTAGCTAGATTTGTGGTCACCGTACATAGGAATGTTGGCTGGGAATGATCACTCCCAGGTGCAGATGGGAGGATTCATGTTTATTCTAAGGTATAACTGGGGCCAACTGCTTTGTGACTACAAAGCATAAACTAAAGATCCTTTGGAATGAGGGGCTTGGGCTGCAGTGTGCCAACCTGCAGAACGGCTGTCAGCCTAAGGAACAGCCTTTTGAGTCAGACAGGTGTGACAACCAGTGTTGTGCTTGAAGTTCACTAAGGTGGTTGTCATCAAGTTAGAAATCAGGCATGCAGTCTGATATAACTCAAGCTTCAGGAGACATGGATTTCATTACATATGCTTGTAGGATTAATGTACAGGCATCAGTCTGGTTGCTTGGTCTTGGTTTTTGTGGTGTTTTGATGAGACAACTGTGCTAAGAAGATGGGGCCTTTTTCGTGGTTCTAAAGCCAGTCAGACATGTGCCTGCTGTCATCTGTCAGGGAAAGGCTATCTTCCATCGTGTTTCTCACACACTCTCACTATGTCATCAGCTTGTCTATGGCTTGATTCAGAAACTTGACGTGGGTTCAGTCTGATATGACACTCACAGAGGCTTGGTTTGGCTGTGTCTTTGTTAGACATTGTGCTCTTAAGACTTTCTGTAATCTGGTTTCTTTCACCTCTTCACACTGTATGGTTTTGCCCTCCTGTTTGATTTAAGAGCCTGATTAAGAGTACAGATTCATCCATGAGTCTTAGTACAGATTTCCTTATAGGCTAAACATATGTTCTGTGTAGGTGTTCCTCCTGGCTCCCCACAGCTGCCCTGGGACCTCCACAACCTCTCCTACCACAAGCAGTGGGTGGATGCTCACACATCCCAGGAGCCATGAATTTCTTCAGAAACAGGTGCTGGGTGCCTCAGATTTGCTACAACCATGATCCTGAGTGACCTTGAGCTGGGTCTGCTCTGCCACAGCTTTTTCTTTAAATGAGGTGGAAGAAGGCAAATGCACATGAGTGGAGAAGAGAGGGAGGCAGGACAGAAGGGGTAGAGACCAAGTCAAGAGGAAAGGAGTCCACTTTGTCTGAACAGGAATCACAACTGCTCATCCACATTCAGGTCATCTCTGGGGGGTCTGAGTGGTTGTGGTGCATGGGTGTTAAAAGGACTGGTGTACGTTACTGTGACCCTGTGAGAGCTTTTTAAAAAAGAATGTTGGATGAAGAGTACATCACCATAGTATAAAACAGCAAACGTGCCACCCATGTTCAAGGACAGCAATGGGGAGAGAAGGAGGAAGGGAAGAAGTAACGACTAGGCACTGTGTCCAAATTAATTGACCTTTAGTTACATGAGGAACATATAAATTCAGGAGAAATTTTAAAAGTAAGTCTAATTAAAGACATGGACAGAACAAAAAAAGGCCAAGGGAGGGGAAGTTCACCAAAAATAATACATGCCAGAAGAAAAGCTTCCCCCCCTCCTTTATTTTTGTTTGGTAACTAATGCTTTTAGATAAGGGATGCATGGTTCTGGTTGTCTGCAGGGGTTTGAAGTAGTGTCAGTCAGGCCATTCTTAGACAAAACTGGAGAAAGCAGTAATTAGTGCAAGAAACAGTATTAATTAGCACAAGAAGCATGTGGGCAGCCGAAGGGGCTGTCCCAAGAGCCTGGCTGGGTACTTTGCGGGCCCAGTGCCCGTCCTCCAGGGCGATGGGGTTTGGCAGCGGGTGGGCGGCAGGGCCAGGGGTGTGTGGGGCTGACCCCGGGCTGGGGAGGGACAGTTCCTAAGCGGAGGTTAATGCTTGTGAAGGAGCAATGGGCTCCTGTGGTAAACTTGGGCTGGGCTTGGGGGCCCTGCCGGAGCTTCGTGGGGGGAAGCAGGGTGGCAAACAAACACCTCACAGAGCTGACCCCAAACCCAGGCCGGGCCTTATGTCCCAGGTCAAAATGCGATCGAGAGAAGTGTCGGTCAGGCCCAGGGATTCAGCCCTGGTGCCAGGCAGGGGCCTGGGCACAGGGGGGTGTCTGGCTGGTGTCTGTGGTGATGGATGGGACCTGAGGTGTGTGTGGCCCTGAGGCTCTGCCTAGGCTCTGTGATGATGGGAGGATCAGGTGGGCACCTCAGAGCTGAGGCACCAGTACCCATCAGACACTTGTGGCTGAAGGACCAGGTGGGGCTTTTGGCATACGGTGAGGAAACCATGAAGGATGCAGGAGGCGAGGCCTTCACCCAGCCTGCCAACTGCTGTGTGGGCTTCCCATCCAGCAGGAAAAGCCGAGCATGTCCATGTGGTCCGTGCCAGTGAGAAGGGATCAGAGTGGCACAGGCTTTGGGGCCACCCCTGCTTGGTCACCTTGTCCTGAACCTCACACTGGTCTCTGGCACATGTACGTGTTTTACGATGTGCGGCCCAAGTTTCTCTGATTCCCGGGAAGCTTCCCATGCTCAGCCGTGCCGAGCTGCTCTGTCACGCTTCAAACCTCTCTTCCACCCTCATGTTCTGTAGGCAAAAATATCCCTCTGCCTCCCTCAGGAGGTATAATAAGAGGAAAGATGAAAATGTAGTTAACATCTCTTCCACTCTGCAAGTGCCAATTATGTGTTGTGGGTTGTTTGGTTTTTGTTTTTTTTTTCTCAGATGCTCTAGTTGATAAATATAGCTAGCTAAATTCAGAGTAACTGTTTTCAACCTGAGTTTAGCACTGAAGTGGGCTGGTTCTATTTTTGGGCTGAAGAAGTGTTTGCGTGCCTGAAATCCTGTCCAAGTTCTTCTAACTATATCAGTTGGTCTAATAAAAGAGATTACCTCTTCCTACAGGCCTTGCCTCGCTTACATCCTTCAGACACTGTGACTACAATATCTCTGCTGCTGCTTCTTTCCTGTTGCTTCTCTGCCACCTGCAGTGCACAGCCTGAATGTGCAAGAGAGAGGACATCAGGGTATTTCCTGACTTTACAGTGTTTCATTTACAAGCTTAAAGATGTTCCTGGAAACAGAGAAGTTAAGTTGGAAGGGACGTCTGGAGGTCACCCGGTCCGAGCCTCCTCCATGCTGGGCTAAGAAATTTTGATTGGATGCTCAGGACCTTATCCAGTGAAGTTTCAGGTACTTCCAGGGGTGTACCTTTCACACCCTCTCTGGGCACAATCTTCAGTGCTGAATCATTCTTGCTGTGAAGATTTTTTTCCTTATGACCAACCTATTTTTTCCCTTGTTGCATACATGGCTGTGGCCCTTTGCCACTGTGAGCCTTCCTTCTATACCAGTCATTGCAGTGGGAGACTGCAGTTTCTTTCCTGCCTCTCCTTAGTGATCTCATCTCTGGGCTATACAAAAAAGTTCCTCCTGGGGTGGCCTGTGGTCCAGCCTCTCAGCAATCTCAGTGTTCCTCTGCTAGACTCTCTCCAGTCTGCCAATGTCTTGCTTGCTCCGTGGGGACCAAGACTGGACACTGTGTTCCAGGCGAGGTGTTGTTAGTGCAGAGTAGAAGGGAATAAGCACTTTCCTTTGTGTGCTGCTTATGCACTGCACTTGCTCATGTAGCCTCGTATGTGGTTAGCTGCCTTCATCACAAGGCACACTACTGTCTCTTTTGCAACTTCCCAAAAGAAACCCTCTAGTAATCTTCTGCAAAGCCATTACCTATCTAGTTTGTTCCTAGTATTTATAGCTAGTGGGGTTAGGCTATCCCTGTTGTAGACATTGTGCTTCCTTTTTTTGACCTTCAAGAAGTTTCTATTGGCCCATTCCTCCAGTCTGTCAAGGTCTCTCAGACTGTTTTTTCTGTCTGCCACTTTCTGTTAAGCATGTGGTTTCCCATCCTCTTGTGCTTGTGTTCATGCCATATGGACACGTTCAAAGACAAGTTCTTCCTCAGAGCAGTGTTTTCTTTTGTTATAGACTACAGAGGCAAGGAGGGGTGTGTGGTGGGTTTTTAGAAGCAGACTACTCTCACTTGCACTGGATATAGCCTTGGAAGGGGAAAGGCCTGTTCTGCCCAGTACAACGTCTAGTGCCTTTGGAAACTTTCACTTTTCTATCAGCTTCCTACTGACCACCAGAAATGACTGTCCTCTAACAGGAAACACTGAGGTGTTCACCTTTGCTATCTGCTCATTGACAGAGTCACTAAGGGGACAAATTAGAGAATTCCTGTTCCTGAACTGTTCAAGAAAATAATTTGATTTCTTTTGCTTCATGCCTTACCTCGTACTTTGCCCCATCTCCTACCCATTTAGACCAAAAAGCTTCAGCTTAAATGATAACTGAACTCAGGGCTGCTTTTGTGTTGAGGTTTTCAGACTACCATGATCTGCCCAAAGAGGAAATGAAAGGACAACATCTGATTATGAACTTATCCCAGCCCAGCTCCAGACTTCCCTTCAGGGCCATCCCAGGCTATATTCTGAATGGGAGAACAGAATTGGTCGCCTTTTCTGCCCTTTACCTATCGAGCCTACTGTCACATTTTTAGACTAAATAACGATGAACTCCACAAGAGGGGTTTGTGTCTGTTTAAAGACAGAAAAGAGGAGTGAATATAATTAGCTAGGCAGATCCTTCTCAGTAGCAGCTGCTGCTTCTCCTTTACTCAACAATACGCTCTTTCTCTTGCATGTTTCTACGAAAAAAAAAATCACGACCTTATTATCATGCTCGTTTCATTCCTTCCAGCACAAGGCAATCACAGGAACAATTAAACAGTTCTAGGATTAGAAGTGACAATTAAAAAAGAAACAGAGATAAGAATAGAGTGGCAGGAAGGTAAAATTAAATTACTTTTTTCCCCTGTCCCCTTTGCTCCCTGTATCACGTTGTTGAAAGAAAAATATAGTTCTGCCTTATTAGATGTCAGTTTAACAAATTTACTCTGTGCTACCTAAAACCTACCCATATCTGTGTGCTCTCTGCTACTCCTCCCCTGTGGTCCTTCTTTCTGTGAGCCAATCCCACTCAAATTTATTGCTCCTTGATATGTAAATCAAGACTTCAACTGCATCACATTTGGATACGCATTTCAAATACCATTTAATAGCGAAGGGATTCTGTGCATTATCATGCTATATAAGCTGATGGGTCAGGATTTGACTTTCTGGCTACGTCTATAAGTCCCCGGTCTGGAGACTTACCCAGTTTTCCTGGGTAGCAAGAGCAGTTAGCGTCTGCCCTTTGCCACACCAGGCTGCTTGTTGGGGAACTGGGAAAAGCAAGGCATGCTCTGTAACGCTGGAGATGGTTTTTTTTATACCTAAACTCCTAAAGCGTTGCAGTCATGCTACAAGCATGTTTTCTGCTATATCTCCCTCATTTGGTCTCTTTAAGCAAAATTAAATTATTTCACCCACATACATTTTCTTCTCATTTATGGTTTCAACTCTCTCTTCTGGAATCCACCAGTTGTTCTAAATTTTTCCTGAAGAGCAGTGCCTGAAACTGGGCATAACATTTGGCTGAAGCCTCTTCTGTGCTGGGCACACTGACAGGAGTATTCCCACTTGCTATGTGTTAAACACTATCCAGTATATACTAGAATGGTGTTTGTCTTGCTCACCATACTGACGCTGTTGATTTGTGCTGACCATGTCATCCACTGTATTCCCCAGATATTTTCTAAAGAATTTTCTACAGAGCCAGCTGTTTCTGGGCAGCTGATTGTTTCTGTACATATTAAAGTTCATCCAGCTGTTCTCAGAATTTTCTAATTTATCAAGAACATTTTCAGTTCCAGTCCTGTCTCTAAGAATATTTGCATCCCTTCTCTATTTCATGTCATCTGCAAATTTAACAAGCATACTGTATATTCCATCATCCATAGTATAAACAAAAATGCTGGGAAAATTAGATACAGATTCAGAATGAATCTCCATATAATACTGCTTCATACTTCTTCCAGGTAAGCTTTATAACTATTCTTTGAATATAGTTTTACTGAGTTTTGTTTTGGTTTTGTTTTTAACTCATGCTAGCCTATCTCCATCTAGATAATTTTATTTTTTTTTTTTTTTCTTGCTCATAAGAATGCTACACTAGACAATGCCAAAAGCCTAAGTAAAGTCAAAATATGCAATGGCTACTGCTTCTTCACTGCACTAACACTCTTCAACCATCTACTGGCCGTTATTCAGCTCCTTGGTTTTCAGCTCAGTGCTTAGAACAAGTTTACTTTTTTTCCCAGGATGTTTTTCTTTTTGGAAATTGAAGGTAAAGTTGCTGAGCTTTGACTCATCTGCTTTCTCCCTTCCCCACTTCTTTTAAACACAGGGTCTGTACTTATGCTATTTCTATCATTGGTGGCTCACCAGACCCCAGCTGTCCTTCTCAAAAATAACTGCTAACACATCTGAGACTGTTTTGGGTAGTTTCTCACATATGCTAGGCAGATGTTCATCAGGTTCAGCCAAATTAGCAACACTGTCTAACTGGCTAAATCAGGCTATTAATTCTTTTAACATTTATTTACCCTTCTCTCACTGATGTTACTTGTACCAGCCAACTGCTCACCTTTTCAGCAGTGAGTGAAGGAAAAATTTCATTTTGGCATTTTTGTCCTCCTCTGCCCCCTTCCCTATTGAGTAAGGTGGCCACCTTTCTTTGCTTTTCCTGTTCTTCAATGTGCTATCAATGGATATTAATATCTGATGGAAGGAGCAAAGAGGATGGACCCCTTCTCAGTGTTGTCTGATGAGAGGACAGGAGGCAATAGGCATAAACGAAAGCACTGGAAATTCAATTTAAACATAAACAACATTTTTTTCATGGTGAGAGTGATCAAATATCAGAACAGGTTGCCCACAGAGGTTGTGGAGGCTCCATCTTTGGAGATAATAAAAACCCAAATAGGCATGGCCCTGAGCAACCTGCTGTAGCTGACCCTGGTCTGAGAAGAGGGGTTGCACTAGATGATTTCCAGAAGCCTCTTTCCCTGTTGACCATTCTGTGACTCTGTGTAACCATCAGAGGAGCAAAGCATCATTATTGAGATGACTGGAAGAATTGTAAGCCTACCTTACAAAACTATGTTTCTACATAAACAACAAACACTGTGCTTGGACAAAAGGATGAAGGCTGAGAGGAACCATGATTTCTTTCTATGAAAAATGTTGAAGAGTTGATGACAAGGGAAGAACTACTGAAAGCAAATAACTGGCACAAGATCAGCAGATAACAAAGTTCAACTTAAAATTTGAAAGACTAAATTTCTAAAGCAATTCACCAATAAGAATACTGAGAGTTTCTGTACGTACCACAGAAAGCAACCAGCCTTAGGTCTAGTTGTTAATGAACTTAATAATGTTGCTGCTGTCTCCAGCAACAGAATTCATGGGGAGACCTGGGGGGAAAAAAGTCAGAGACCGTGTTAACAAAAAGTGTGAGCACAGGTTGAGCTTCGCAGGAACCCCCAGGTGTCTCTAGGTCTGTCTGATTATTTGTGGATTAAAAGGAAGGTAGAATATTTTTGTAGGCCATGACTGTGTAAAATACACTGTTCTAGAAGTGGAAGAGTTTTGTTCTGTGTTGGAAGTTTTTGTCATCTAAAGTTTTCCCCTTTTTAAGTGTATTTTGTCTGTCCTCTTTCTTTTAAGTGTGTGCTACAAAAATCTGTTTCATCATGGAGAGAAACCATCAAGTGAGAAGCCTGGCTTATCTCTTAGTGTGGAAATGGCCTACAGAACAGATGTTAAACTTTGCACCTCCGGACACTTAAATCATAACAAGCTTTATAAGCCTTTAGAGAAAATAAAACAGGGACAATGGTACTCTGCCAGGAAACAAACTGGTTTCACAACAGAAAAAAATCAATTCCCAGCTGAAAATGAGAAAGCAAGGAAAATGCAAAGATCTTCAGATAACTTTTGTTCCAGCATCCCCCTGCTTCCAGTACAGGCTGAATCTTCCTGCCCTAACAGCAGACATCCACAGTCACCTGTGACTGGTGTTGGTGCCTCAGTAGATTCTTTTCTACTCCACTGGAAATGTTAAAGTTGAAAGCACTTAGAAAGTAAAGGAGGGAGCCGATAGACTCCATATGTGTCCCAAAAGAGATCAGTTAGATGTGTCAGAAATTATGGTGTTGAAAAACACACCAGTTATGAACAGCTGACAATGTGTTACGGAGCCTGCCAAGGAGGAATACCAGTTCATATCTTCATACTTGGCTGGTGTAACTAAAACTGAACAGCTTAACAAGTTCCTTCATTTCCAGAAGGAATTCATAGCAAAGCATGAACCGTTACAGAATGATTTCACATGGAACAAAGTATCAGAGCAGCATAAAAGAAAGCTGGCTAAGGAAAGAAAAAGAGTCCCCAGGTTGATGGGAAGGTAAATGTTGCGTTATCTTTCTGGGTGGACTGGTTATGTGTTCCTGGAAAATGGAATGGGTTTAGGCAAAATCTCCTCTCTCTTCTTGTCAGAGAGGTGATCCCACGTGTTTGCTTAGTTCTGCACTTGTAAGACACGTCTACTATGTGCTCCAGAACCCTGAGCCCAAAGCTATACACCACTGTTTACCCTTCTCTCCATTGTCACATGGAAATGTGTTAAGTATATAGGAAAGCAGGATTTTGCAAGCTGATGGTCTGTATGGGAAAAACCCACTTGGTCAGCAGCTGCGTAGGAGCCATATATTCAACGTCTTGCTCAGCAGCACGTTTGAGGTAATTTGTAAAAGAAGTTACTTTCTCTATGTGTGCTGTAGACTACCTCTTTCTGCACAGACAAGTGCTGCACTCTGGCTGGCCTCTCATGGTGGGTGGGATGGTGAGTAAATTTGGTCAGTCAAGCACATACACCTTGCAGATGTTGCTTGTGTTGATTGAGTTGCTACCCTGGGGAAAGCATTAACAATCTCAATCGGCACTCAGAGCCAAATGCAGGAGTGAAAGTAAAATACCGGATTCATAGAAATTAGGGATGGAACTGAATGAAAGCAGTTGGGCGTTGGTAAACTAAGAAATGGCTAAGCTAGTGTGAGCTGGAGAAGAACTGGCATTTTATATAGATGAGAGTAATTTTTGAAAGAATTTGGCACCTTGTCCCTCACTATGGCCAGGTTTGCATCCTTTGTAAGATATCAGCTGATTTATCAAGGGCATTTTACTGAGAATTAAGCAGTGGCACTTGCAGGATGAGGGCAGAGATGGCAGCTGACAGAGAAAACAGAGGTCAAGCTTGACTGAAACAGCCACCCCAATAACAGTGCTACGTATACCAGAAGCTGGCAAAGAAATGATCAAGTGAACAAGCAGAGGTCTTTCTTGTATACCTCCAACACACTATCAAAGCTTTTCAAGAAAAGTTACACAAGATGAGGTGACAAATTCATTCAGCCTACTCATGGATATAACTCTTGTATAAGCAGCATAATTCCACGCTTCGCCGGATTCTAGGAGGTATCATCTGCCCTGCAGTTAACCAACTTGCCAAAGAAGTTGGCTACTTTCCCAGGTAACTATTCCCAAGCAAACTATCTTCTATGCCTCTGGGCTGAGAGGTCAAAGTAAAAGGAAGGAAGAAAGGATGACGAAAACCAGAAGAGGCAAAGTGTTGTGTTATAGCAGGGTAACAGATTGATCTTGTAATTTTTCAAGCAGTTTTTCCCAGAAACCATTTTCCCCAGAAACAATTTGAATTGGTACAATTTTTGTGAGATAGTGTAACTCTGGTAAAGTTTAGCAGAAAGCTGTACTAACTAGCAGTGATGGCAATCTTTGCCCTTTGATTACATGGTCACAATTTCTATCAGCCTTGGTTTGAAACAAGGATATTCACAAAGTGAAAAACTGCCATAGTCTATTATCTCTCTAAGAGGCTTGTTGTGAAAAAGTTAATCTTAGGAACAGAGCACTTTGAAGTGAGGCCAGCAGCACTCCAGAGAAAAAGTTCCCATGAAAGAAGAAGGAGCACAGGTTGCCTAAGAGACCCTTTCTTTCTCACTCCCAGGTTTATTACTCAGAGCTGGTATGTATAACCATGAAATTAAAAGTGTATGATTATAATTGTTCTATTCTTGGCTAGAGTTTCTTGGGTTATTTACGTATCGATCGTGTCTCTGAGCCAAACAGTTGCTTTAAGGGATAAAACTTGTTCCAAGGGCTGCTGCTTCCAAACCTGGAGATGATCTGTTGGAGTCAGTAGAGATAGACCAATTTATACTTATATGGAAGGACTGGCTGTCAAGATGTAAGCAAGATATTCAACAATAAGTTGAGGCATAATGTGGTAATTGTCTTCTGCAACACAAATCTGTCATATTTCTTTTCTACTACTCTTTTTTGATGATTGGTATGTCCTGTCTTGTTCAATGTGAGCTTTCTTCTTACTGATGATCAAAATACAGAATTCATGCTATGAACCATGACTTGATCTGGATTCTCACTGTATTTCTTACTGCATGCTGTCAGAAAAAATGGCATGAACTTGAACAAAGTAATACATTCTGACAGCAACTATTTTAGAGCACCTTCTGCACGTGCTGGTATGTAGTTGTTCATTTTGATGATTCTACAGGAGCTCCAGAAAACCTGTGGCTGTTACCCCCTCCATTTCAAGTGACAACAGTTTGTTGAGGAAGTATTTGAAGATATATGCAACAACTTTCTGATATTTGGTGATATTCTGAAGGAAATTAAGGTAAAAAATATTCTTAAACGTTAGCACAACATAAGCTAAGTGTACCTTAATTATTGTTTTAAATGCATTGTCTCCCAGTGCCCTTTGCTGATTTTTTTCTCAGTGCATGTAGGACATTTAATCCTTCTAGCTACAGTGAGGAAGGTGATTCTCCTGGGGCTTTATATTCTTCAGGAAACTTTTCTCTGCCCCCTTGTTCACACGTTAAAGTCAAACGTACCTAACAAGCTTAATGGGCTCATAGCATCATTTGGTTTTTTGATTTAATCAATTGTGGTCTCAAGGGGGATAGCTGATTTTTTCCTTATTTTTGCTTCTTCTCCCACTGTACACAGGTAAGCAAAAAGACCAGAAAATAAAAGTGATATGCCTCTATGGAAAGTTGGTTTCCAGTCTGCTCAGTGATTTGAGCTGACACCATTCCCAAATATAAGCATCATCATGTTAATGAAGGAAGGAGAAATCACAAGGAATTTCACACCTCTGAAAACCATCTGCAGGCCTGCATATACAAAGGCCACAAGACTGGAGGAAATAACACTGAGGAGAAAGGTGAATTGGAAATCACTCGTATTCAGTGGTTCAGGAGAAGGCTATGTTTTCAGTCATTGCTTTCATTCATTCAAATTAGGGCCACAACTCTGTGTGTGTGTGTTAAATGTGTAAAATGTTATTTTTCCACGTCTCACTTTGACAGTTACATGTGGGGAGTGATCTGTCTTGTCAGGTAGGTTTCAATTCTTTTTTCCTTTTGATTTTTCACTATTCTGAAAGATGACATTTGAAATCCTTTATTTGGGGACCAAATCTGTTTGTTTCTCTTCTTGGGCACCCAGGACCGTGATTTGCATGTGGAACACAACTGAAATATTATAGGTGAAAAATGAAGTTGCACTCTGATTATGTGCACCGTGCTGTGGTGCTGGTGGAAATTCTACATTGACTCTCCCGATAATAACTTGGGAGGCGGCGGGGAAGTCATTCCTCCATATTTGTTGACAAAAGTTATTACCCACTAAAATCCAGCATTTGTAGGCAAAAGAAGGGAAGAGAGGGCAGGGATTACAAGCAAGAAATCCTTGAGGAAGAGGAGCTAGTTGGGTACGTGAACTGTGCTGAGAATGACAATGGCATATTCAAAATCCAAATGATCACCTTTGAGTTTTGAAGAAATCTGTGTGTAGTAGCATAAATAAACCTTCTGTCACAGCACAAAGGTATGACTTTTCCTGCAGCCAAACTGAAACAAGACCCTATATTCTCTGGACTCTTAAACATTTTTGATGGTCATCTTTCCTCTCAATTTATTTACAGTGAGTATGAGCTGTACATGATGATGCTTCTGGACTCTGTGCTTATAACACAATACAAAGCAGTATTTGTCTGCCCCTGCCCAGCTCCCCTGGTTCCTATTCCCATGGCATAGGGCCCCAGTTCAACCCAGCGTGGACCTGTCAGTCCCTGCCTCTTTCTCTATATGACCATTTTGTATTCTTCCTCTTTGGACGTTCCATAGTCCAAAACTAGCCCCTTCTCCTTCTCTCCTGATGTCTTTTTAGGCTGGTGTTTTCCATGGACCCAGACCCAATGCTTTAGATTTTCTCTGAGGATTTCACCCTAGTTATCCTCTCTCTTTGGCACTGAGCCTGGGACCTCCTGTGTGATATTGACAATGTGTTGAAATGAAAATGAAAGGTAATGACGAATGTGGCACAGTTGACAGCATAAGTGCTTTGTCTAGGATGACTAACACACTGCTCAGTGGCAAAACACCTGAAAGGATTGTCCAAAAGAAAGGGGTTTGCATGAGTCTTCATATTTACTGGCTGTGACACACAGAGAGAATAGTCTATTCTTTTTTTATCAGTAACAAACCTTTAATCTATTTACAAATGGAAAGAACTTTGAGTGCCTCTAAAACCTGCCATAGGGGGTTTTTTTGTTCATGTCTGGCCAGATCTTATTCTCACAAGCAGCTCATTCAGAAGTTTTAATCAGAACTGAATTTTACTGAACATGAAGTTTTATAAATGGTGCCGGGACCTGTAGCAAAGGAAATAAATATTCATTTGCATGACTTCACATTTTACTCTTTTTCATGTGTTCTTGTAGGCTGTGAAGGTTCAGGTCAAAGGGGTGGAAACAAAGCCTTCAAAGGCTCCAGAAATCCAGGCACCCAGGAAAGATGTTCAGGTTCTCATGAAGAAAGCCAGTACTGCTCTGGAAAGAAACAAAGACTAAGTCTAACAAATGCTGTCAACCCTCTAGCAGCAACTAGGTAGATGGGTAAAGCAGAAACAAGTAAATAGAGTTCTTGAAGTTTTTTCCAAACTTCAGACCTTGGAGAGAAGGCCGAGGGATTAGACTCTGTGGATGGCCTGTTACAGGCAAAAATCTTTCTCCTTGTTAACATACATTTTTTGTTCCCCCCTCCCCAACTTTTGTATCAATCACAGTGGGAGACAGGGTTTAGCTCTGAACAGGACAAAGTCTTTCTTTTGCCATTCCTGACTGACTCCTGCCAAAGCGCTTGTGTCACCACAGAGAAGTCTCTTGACCACATAGACTGAAGACTGCATTGTTAAATTTCAAACTGTGTCAATTTTGCTGGAACGTTGCCTTTTTCCCTGTTACAGAGGCACCAAAGCCTGTGCTTTCAAATGCCTGTGTCTTGTTCTCTAAGACAGGAGTTGGTTTGACTTTCTTATTTTGACGAGCTTCTTCTCAAACATTCTAAAGCTCCCTGTCCTCTTTGGACTGACCCAATTTTTCCATGCCTCTGTTTTGTGCCACTGATATTTTATATCACAGCTTCCTGACTTCTGCTTCAAGCTCTGATCTGACTTGCTACCTCAGTTTGGTTGTTTAATTCTAGAGCTCTAACTTTAGGCTTGAAAGTTGTCCTAGCAGGAGATCTTACCTACCAACTTCCCTGTTATTGTCCCCTCCACTGTCTGAACCTGAAAAATTTAGAAGTTGGTCTTTTATGAAGCTGCTGGTTTCCCTTCTTACTCATTTCTTTTTCTTGTAAATGTTACTCTAAGTAGTCTAGATGACTTAAGAGATCTTTTATGTCTTTGCAATTCTTGTTTCCAGTGTATTTAGTGTGTACACATTACGATATTTACATTGTGCTTTTAAAATGTAGTTAGGATGATTCTGCAGTTAAGATAGTGAAGTGTGAAAAAGACCCATGTTCACTATTTTTTGCTAGTGTAAAAAGGAAGATAATTAACAGTGGCCCAGTACTCTACACGTCTATACTTGTCTACAGAGAGAGAATTCATGATGTGTTACTGTGGGATAAAGTCAAACTGGCATGAATTTAAGATGGATCAGGGGCATAATGTGGAATATTTCTAGAGCACGCATATGCAAATTTTATCTAGGCTACAGAGATTGATTTTTGTGCAAGCTTTTATAAATATTTTAGAGGTAAAGGGGAAAAATATGACATTTTGTCTTTTGCCAAAGGGCTGAAAGGGAATAATGATAAACATCCTAGAATGATCTAAAGGGGTCTTGAGAGATTTGACAGCTGTAAGTATAAAAATCCAATATCCTATAAGACTGCTCAGTTCTGGATAGTAATTTGTTTTCAGAGAAGTCTAGGAACTTGTGCTATCCTAATGACACCTTTCTAGCTTTGCATGAAAACTAACAATCAAAATCTGAGTCATTTGCATGCATTAGTTGCTACTGGGAGGCCTCTTGCAATGGACCACGTGTAGCCCTTTCTATATATAGGGAAATCATCCTTGGAGGTAGGCGAAGGAAAAGGTTTTCATACAAGACTGATGTCTTTTTTAAAGTAACATTGGTTAGTAGAAGTTAGAATAGCTGGTAGGATTTTTGAGATCTGATGAAGAGAAGGGAAGTAAGAATATTTGAAGTATATGCAAAGAACTAAGCTTTCCACTTATGTTACTGTAATACCTGTAAGTAACGTGTGATTGCTTCAGTATTTTCATTCAATGAAAAAGAAGTTTCCCCTCTTAGGAAAAGAAGCTGCAGTGATTGTTTGAATCCTGTTAACTCCTCACAGAGAGTCAATTCCTCTCTCCTTTGCATCACTGAGCATTCAGACCTGGAGTCATTGTGCTATAATTCAGTGAGCCTGAATTTGCTCTGTGCCCTGTTAGAGCAACATTTGGCCTCTGGACATGTGTAACTATTTGCTCATATCTAACTTGGTAGATTATCTTGAAAAGATTTTTGTGAAACTTTTGTTCACTTTTATTCTATTCTAGACGGAAGAATGAATTGGAAATGGGGCTACGGATGAGCCGAACTCCGGAAGATAAAACAGGTGAGTGATAGGACAGTTCTGAGTCAAGCAGAAAATAAATATGACAAAAATTATGGTAATAACATGTTCTAAAGTGTTGAAAAGAAAACCAACCAAAAATTACCTCAGCTGCTGAGACTTTTCCTGTTAGTATGATCAAAATGTGCTGACATCTAATGAAATTAGGTGCATAACATTTTTCTTCTTTCACTCCTGGCCTTATCTGAAACCAGTAGATGTCAGTGGGAGACTTTGTAATGCTGAGGAAACCTAGGGAACCGCCAAATCTTCTCTATGAGTCTGTGACTGATTCTGTCACTGTCAGAGTCACAGAACTCTGGTGTGTTAAAGATGTCTCAGGGGATGGTACATGAAACCCTTCAGCTGGCAGAATTGTGATAACTGGATTTCATGCTTATCATGAGTAGGTTAAGACCTGAATCATGTGCTTTCATGTGCCCTTCCTAGGCTTCTTTTCAGCCTTCACTGCATTGGTCCTGGGTGCTCTAGTTATCCATACAATAGTCCAGTTCCCTCTTGGATGCTTGCTGGGTACTTTGGTTCAGGAACAGGAATGAGATTTACAGTCTATGTATTGCTTGAGAAAGGAGTGTCTTTTGATAAGGCCTTTGATCCATGGAATCTGGATTGAGACCGTTGAGTAAGATAAAAGACATAAATCTGGAAAGTTGTGGAAGAGTGAAAGAAAAGCTGACTGATGATGGACTGGGAAATCCTGTGAAGTGCCATCAAGGTAGAGCACAGAATAATTAGTCTGAACATAATACAGCAACATTTTATGCCTTTATTGAAAACCTGTACTCAAGCACAGTTTTCTTCCAAAGCAAAAGAACATACCAGTTAGCAAATTATAATGTGGTAAATAAGGAAATAGCTGTTTAATTGGTGATAAAAAATGCCTTCTGCATTTTCTCTTTGAGTAAAGAGGAAGATCTAAATCTGCCTTCTGTGCAGCATCCAAGTGTTCTTGTGTCTCACTCCAGGCTGCGGGCAGTTGTTAGCTTCAATACGGGCAGCTCCTATCACTGGCCTCTAACTCACTTTTACAAACACACCTTTAGTAGGAACAATGCTTGAACAAGCAAACCAACTTCTGTTGGTTTTGGTTGTGTTTTTTTTTTTTTTTTTCCTCTTGGCAATTAAACTGGCCCAGATTCCTCCCCAGTGTAAGTGTCTTCCTGTCAATGAATGTATGCCTGAATGCAGCTGCCCTGATTATGTTTGTTTCTACAGCATGGTACAGGTTTTAAATTCCAGAGCTTTGCAGCCAACTACTGAAAAACCCATAAAATCAGTCATTGGCTCTGGGTCTCCCGCAGGACTAATGAATAAAACAATCAGAACTCTCTAGGCCAAAGCATATCTGAGGAATGGTTTTGCATAAAATGAGCTAAAAGACATTTAAACAATGGGCAAAGGTTTCTCCCCTTATCCTCCCTACCAGGTACTAATTTAAAAAATACTTACTCAGTTAACCTCAAACTTCCCCTCCCTACCTTCCTCAATTACACATTGAGGAATCAAAACCAGCCAAGTCAGAAAGACATAAATGTTTCTGTTCTTCTTTTTGTGTTACAGCTGTATTTAGAAGCTCAAGCCAAGAAATGTGGGCCAAATGTGCTAAAATGTGCTGGCACTATAGGGAACAAAGCTCTGCAAATATTATTTGGGGGTTTTTTTTGGTTTTGGTGGTTTTTTGGGGGGGGATGTTTGGTGGTTTTTTTCTGTCAGGAGCTAAGCAATTAAAAAAGCATTCAACTCAAGTTGAAATGAGAACTTTACAGTTTTCCCAGAGGAAAAACTGAAGATCTGATTATTTTTAAAAATTGTATAGAATGTTTTCTTAATCTTTTCTAAAAAAAGGCAGCATGCTCTCTCCAGGCAGCATTTCTGTAAGGCCTTTCCAGGACCAGTAGCTACCCTGACCCATAGAGGTGGTGATTTGCTCTCTATCATTTTCAGTGGCTCACATGGAAGGACAGGTTTTTAGAGAAGCTGATGGCCATTAGCCCCTGGGGCAGGGAGCAGCAGGAAGCATGGCCAGGCACTTTCCCCACGTGAGGCAGTGCATCACTCAAGTTGGGCTCATTCTCTCTTCCTCCAGCCTCCCTCACTTTTCATCAAAGCTGCTGGACCTATTGACTGTGCCCTGATACTGAACCACAGACCAGAGGGAAGCGGAGGGAACTGGCTGCCCGTGACAAGCTGCTTGGGGAGTAGGAACTTTAGCTGTCCTGGGATCACAACAGGCAGTCTTTAATCGTTGAAACATCATCATTAGCCGACACAGTGGCCTAGTCCTGCAACTGACAGCATGGCACAAAGCCTTTACATTGGACATGTGGCTAAGGAACCACTGTGGGCTCCAAAAGCCCCTCCCAGCTCCAGGGAAGCCCCCGAGTCATCAGATTTCCTTCACCTGCTCCCTGCACCAGTCAGACCAGCCAGGCTGCACCACTAGGAGCCCTTGCACAGCAGAGACAGACCAGTTCTTCCTCTCCTTGTTTTCACGCCCTTCTCTGGTGCCTTCTCTCCCTCCTCCTTTCCCCTCTCTGCCTCCTCGGCAACCGCTGAGCTTCAGAGGTATAATCCTGGCATCTCTCCTGTCTGCTCTAATTTCCATAATTCCCTTTGCAGACAAACACCAAGAGGTGAACCAAGGTGTGGGAGACAGATCATGACCTTGAGCTGCACTGTAATGAGAGAATAAAGCAGTTTATTTGTATTAGTCCCTACCTTGGAGTGAGGGGCACTGTCAGTCTGTGCATGTACCTTCCCTCATTCCCCAGATGAGGAGCTGGCAAAGCTTCATAGTACCGCTCCAGCTGCAGCAGCAAGGACACTGGCAGGCTGCGGATGAGCTTGCTGACAAGCTGTGAAAAGCTGAAAAGGCCTTTGACTCAAATACTCAAATAAGGCCCTGGCGGGGCAGGAGCGTGAGCTGGCCACGTAGGATATTGTAGAATCGTGTTATTGACTTGTTTTAGTGAGATGAGTGTGTGAGGTGGCAGTGAATCCGGCCTGTAAAATTCCAAAGTGCATTTTCTGGACTCTCCTAAGGGTGTACAGTGTGTTTATTGTGCTTCTTGCATGCTGTTGTTCGTTCTCTGTACTGGGATGCAGTGATTTCCTCCTTGGCTGTGTTCCTGCTGTATTTAGGGCCTGACCATACATTTGCCTTGGTTGGAGTGACTGTGAAAGATGAGTGGCATAGCTTCTGTACCAGCGTTCAGAGTTGTGGAAATGAAGTGTGGGTGTATGTAGCAGTTGAACTGGGGGCAATGTTGTGGACGTTCCTGCTCTGTACTGTTTATCTTGGTGAACTCAAGCTTGTACTGGGGTATGCCTACTGAAAGCACCATAGACGCAGCCTTGGATCCAGCTCTGTCCTTTAAATTGTGCATATATTTTTAAACTTCCAGAAACCTGCAGCAGACATGAGAGGTAGAGGATAGCAAGAAAACTGCTTTGTGTTTCTGAACAACTTGAATCTATGAGGTGTAAAGTTCTCGATAAATGGGAGGAAATGCAATTGAGAGGAAAGAAACAACGGTTTGTGCTTGGACAGTGGATATAATGGAAAACATTCTTAAAGAAATAGAGGCAAGAACTCCTTAATTCTAAACATGTCCTAGCAAGATTTCTCGAGAAGTACTGGTGTCCAGGTACTACCACAATGGGCCCTTTAGCACTGAGATAGACTCTCAGTGGTCTTTATTTTGTCCTCCAAGAACATAGTATGTGCCCAGTCTGGGCGCTTCTATGATCACCATAGCGTCCAGCCTCTGACCCTGCAATAGGAGGCTTGTAGGTTGATCCTCACTGTGTCAGATGATGGTCTAAAGATGTAGGGGTTATTTCTGCACTCATGTAACAAGTTTGGACATTTGTGACCAAATATACATTAAACTACAGCATCATTATTTTTAACCTGATGTGTTTCTTGGCCTGGAGAATGGGATGGTTCTGGGTGGGATTTTCAAGTATCCCAAGTTGGCATAGGACAGTCTGAATTCCCTTTGAAATCCCTTTTCTAGCTGCTTAAATAACTGAACATTACTGCAGTTTATTCACTGGGGTGTATAAATAACTGGAGCCGTGAACACATTTAAGACACAGACGGGAAGGTCAGGTTCAAGTCTAGATTGAAAAAGAAGTACATGATGGATTGTTGATATCAAGCAATTGATTTTTAGTAAAATTATAAATATTAACATAAATATTTGTTTATGGAATAATGTTACTACCTTTTCATTTTTTTTTGTAATTCACTAGGCTCCATTATTATTGGTTGAGTTCTCCTCATCATTGGTGTTGTACAAAGCAAACAGTGAGAGACAGGCTTGTATTGAATACTGTGCAATCCAAAGTACAGTACTTGCAGACATTTGTTTATCTGCCAAAATTTGCATACTGAGAGTGGCTTGTGTGAGGACCACATAAACTATAGAAGTTAGATGCTTGCAAATTTCTGTGGGATTAGTGAATTCAGCATCTAAAAACAGTATTCCTTTTCTACTGGCAGTTGTGCAATTAGAAGTAGCACAGTAAAGGCACTTTTAACCTGTCCTTGTTGCTGGTTATGCTGATAAGTGTTCCAGCTGTGTGAAGTGAGGAGGTAATTTCATGCAGCTAAACAGACGCTAAAAGTACAGTCAGCATGAGCAGGGAATAATGTGTCACTCCTAACGGTGGGCAAACAGCAGTTGTTTACGTAGAGCTTATGTTTGGCTGAGCATCTAAAAGGCCACTAACTCCTAACGGTGGGCAAACAGCAGTTGTTTACGTAGAGCTTATGTTTGGCTGAGCATCTAAAAGGTCAAACATTTCTCCAAACTTTCCGTCCCTGAAGCAGAGTTATACCTGTTGACAGAACACCTAATTAATTAATTAATTGTACTGAGAATAAAACAGAGCTGCCAGAAAGTCGGAGGAAAGCCGAAAACCTGTGAAAAACACACAACGGGAAAAATGCCCAAAGTCTGTATTTCTCTCTTCAACAGTTCAGGTATAGATACAGCCATTGTGTTCTTGCATTATGCTTGGCTGCCTCTAAATCAAATGATATATTTAAAATCATAGGTTTTCCTGCCAAATTTTTCAGCCAACCCTTTGCAGTGCTACCTAAGAGTACAAGACAGAAGTCTGTCACTTGTTTCTAAAGCAATTAGCATGCCTCCAGCATCAGAGAGCTTTGGGGGAGGAGGTGAACTTTTGGTTAATTTAGACAAATTTACTTTGTATCAAGATATTAAAACGACGAAGAGAAGCAATTAATCATGACAACTTCCTTTTGTCTTTTTTTTTTTTTTTTTTTTTTTTTTTTCTGGCGAACAGGAGATCTAGGCTCCATGTGCTTTCTGAAATGTTCCTGATATGCACCTACAGAATGATAACAACTGAGTATCTCAAATCTGATTCTCTGAAAAAATAGCCACTCTGAGAAGTTCCTCGCTTTGCTTTTTTAAAACAAATATGAATATTCAGAAAGTCTTTAAATATAAATTGCTGGTTTCTAGAGTAGTTTTTGGGGGGGCTGGGCTTTGTCCGTGCTGTAATGGAAAAGGAGAGTCAGCAGATGGCAATGTTGGATAGTTGTTCCAGCAGGGGATAGCCACATCAGCAAGGGAGGGAAACCTCTGATGCTCCCTAAGTAGCCATGAGGGAAAATGGAGTGGCCCCTCAAGCCCATTGGAGAGTTGGCCCCTCAAGCATACTTTGGCTGAGTGCTTGTGTAGGCTTACTGAGGCTTTTATTACTATTTGTGACAGCAATTCAACGTTTAAAAGCCCTCATTTGAAAGGGCAAGCCCATTATCATTTAAGAAGAGCAATCTAATTAAACTAGTGCATTTCCATATTCTTTTAAAAACATGATTTCATAATGCTACATAAGTACAACGTGTTCTTTCCCACACAGATTGCATTTTTAAAAAGATAAGTGGGTCTGATGCAAAAGCATTTGCTTTTGCTGGAATGTTGTGTGACAATTTAACTGATCTGTTACTGCCTTTTCAGGATGAAACTATGAAAATGAACTCATCAGACACGTTTCTACAAGGCAAAATAAAAGTAAGTTATTTCCTTAGAACCCACTGTGGTTCAGGCATAATGCAAACTAGTTTATATATGAGTTACCTTCACTAGGTCTAATCCCAAATCACTGGAAATCTTCTCTTTAGCTTCAGAAAATTCCAGATTAGGCAAGCTGTGCTTTGCCAGCTAGAAAGTCTGACGGATATATTTCTACCTCCTTGTGTGTTGTGGGGTTTTTTGTTTGGTTTTTTTTTTTGTTTGTTTGGTTGGTTTGTTTTGTTTTGTTTTTTTTCACTACTGTGGAGAGCTATTAGGGTACTTTGATCTAAATATGTAAATCAAAGCTGCAAAAGCTCCCTGCTTCCAACTATACTAAAGGCACTGGAATGAGGTAAAAGAGCCTGTGGCAGATAACTCCAACATATAAAATCCATGGAACAGCACAGCAAGAAGAACTTGGAAAGACTTCTGTAAAATATAGGGACTAACAGATGTCTTGAGAGAAGAAAACGAGTAATAGTTTGAATAAAACAATCTTTGCTTCAGATGATATTCTGCTGCACACTCTGAAGACTGAAGCTCTGTGTTAGTAGCCAAAAGAGCAGGCATCATTTCAGCTGTGAGTGAAATGTGAAGTACAAAGCTCTTTGCATCAAGAGCTTTGTCTAACAGCTCAGTCTAAGAGCCAGAAATGGACACTGAAAGACATGATCAAGTCATTTGTATCAAAGCAACTGGTTTAGCAAAAGCAATGCTATGAAAACCCTTCCCTGTTTACACAGTAAGACCTGGTTTTACTGTCTGTTGGGTTTCCCTCAGGGTACAAGAACTGGCAAGAAGTGAGGCTCTATGTCAGACTCAAAGACGTGTGTAACTTGAGATGTAGTGCTAAATTAAAACTCCTGTCACACAGGAACTACTTACTATAATTTATGTCAAGGTTAATGGAGTAAAAAGTATTGGAGTATTTTAAATGCTGATCAGACATGTTGCCAATTAGTATCCCTGCAGATTTTTTCTTATGTACTGAAGGATACTTCAATGTGTCTCAAAATTTATGTCTTTTTTACAGGAAGTTGAAGGAAATATCACAGAAATTTTAGATAAACTGAGAATCAGTCAGGATAATCAAAGGTGAGTCTTAAATGTTCAAATATCTATGTCAGTGATTACACAGAAAGTGTTAGAGTGATGGAAAAACCTTTTGTAACAATTTGCTGGGCCAAAGTAAGACAAATTAGTCATTAATAGCAGCCGTGTTCAAGTGTGAGTTTTAGAGCACACACAGTAGCATCTGGAAGTCATAATCAGATATAGATTTGACTTCAGTATAGTGCAAAGTGTTAAATAAGAAAAATTAACAGTGGGAATTATGTATAATGTTTGAGTAATAACTCTGATTGCTTCAGTTATTTATTTAGAAATAGAACAGAGACATTATGGTCCTTGTTAAGCCTTCCGAGTTTTCTCCCAGTGTCCTTCTGATATTTTTTCACACCTGATGTGGAGGAGTTCCATCCCTTGTCTGTTCTGACATTGCTCACTATTGCCAATTTTGGTGACTTTTTGTGAAGTGGAATTATTTTATGTTGGGAAATGGCTTGAGATTCCTAGACTTGTTTCACATAAACAACTTTTTTTTTTTTTTTTTTTTTTTGATAGAGGTGGATTATGGTGTCATCTCAAGTATCTGAGCATGCAACTTTGGTTATTGATGCTACCTGTCAGAAATGAATACTGCATATATTTGTTGCTGTGGTGCTTTCAGTATTTAGAAACAAGACTGTTTATTTGTGGTTATGTTTTTAATGTTCCAAAGCCTTGGATGAAGAGCCATGCAAGCTGAAACAGCATGGAGAAAAGGCTGTCTCTACTTATTCATCCACTGTTAATGCCATGAAATGCACGTAGTCAGATAGGTATAGGTTTCGATATAATGTGGCATAGCTCCAGATTGGTTGTAAGTTTGTAGTGCTGCTCACAGGTTTGCTTTTCATACCTGCAATACAGTTTTACAAAACCTGAGCAAATGTCAACCATAACTAAGGCTCTGTAAGGATTGAAAAAAATACATCTGTAAAATAGCTAGAAAGTCTAGTTTATTGTCAGAACAGAAGTTAGCTTTTCACTCATGTGCCCTGCTGTTGTCCACAGGCAGTTTTGCACCTACAATTTATAGGCATAAGAAATCACTGCATCCAGGCAAATCAGGTAGTGGCAGGCCACCACTTTTAATTCCTTAGTTTGCTGCATGCCTAATTTGTTAGTTTATGTCTGCACGTGTAATGCAAATGATTTAATCTATCAACTGGAGGTGGACATCGCAAGTTAGTAAAAGGCCCGGGCATCACGCAGAAAGGCTCACTGACGTTAATGCAGTTTGGGTTAGCTTTTTAGGTTTTCAGACATTAGGCAGGCATTATGGAGTTGTCTTCTGGTGTTATAACACAACACTAAGAGAATGGTTTCTCAAATTCAAATGACAAGTAGTGTTTTCTGCCATAGGGCCCAGAAGAGTTGCTACAGGTTCCTGTTGTGTTTGTGAGCTATACACTTTCATGCACAGTTATGAGATTGTTGGTAAAAATCCAAAATGATACTTATAGACTCCAAGGAACAAGATCCGCTAATATAGAAAAGGATAATTCTATTTTCATCTTATTGCCAACATCTGGTGTTAAAGGGGATATGTATTATTTGGTGACACAGACAGAAATTTTTACCTTTAAATTGTATTAGGAATGTAATATATTTTTTTTTCAAACAAGACTGATTCTTAGCAGAAAAAGAGCCCTGAACTCAGATCTTTTGTGATTTTTAATTTTCAGTTAATTTCTAGCTTAAATTAGAAAATGATGAATTTTAGGAGTTTATGGACTCTTAAAATTAAGGTTAAGCTTCAGTTAACTTACTGCTTCCTACTCTTTGATTAAGTTGAGAATTGCCTACATCTGATTTCATGAGGCAGTACGTAGAGTTACAGTAGACTTTTGTTGTTGGACATCGGCAGTGCAAATAGCTCTCAATTCAGGAGCTGCTACTCAATGACCTAAGACCACTAATATATTGATAACTTCATGAACATGGAAAGTAACATGCTTTATGGTATGAAGTTACTGTACATTATGCTGTTAAAATTTCCTGGATGGATGCATTCATTTAGCTTGATGAGGGGAAGGGGAGAAATTGGAAGAGAACAACAGTAAAGCAAAGCGTGAAATCTAAATAGTCTCCCCACAAACAGCATAGAGAGCACTTAATAGACAATGGCAAATACGTGGCCTCCTGCTTAAGTTTGCAAGACTTGCTTTGCCAGAGCTGAATGCTAGTAGATCTAGAAGTTTATGGGCAGTTACCAATTTATATGCAAAATTACATGAATGTGTGTTGGTAACTGATAATTATGTTCTCTTCAGGAACTGAACATAAGGCAGGGTAGCTGAGGTGGTAAGGATGATATACAGGACCTCTATAAATAGGAGAGTCCTTTGATCCTTCCCTTCAAAAAGATATCAATGGGTCATGGTCTAAGAACATGTACAACAGGAAAGGTGCAATCAGGATGATAAAACATGATCCTGCTTGCATCTACTTAGAAATTAGAGAGCTGTGCATGAACCTACTTTCTGCTATTTCTTTGACTTTGAAATGAGAGTTGCATGACCTGCAAGTCGGGTATGGAATTTAATAGATAAAAGTCAATGTCATTTGAGAGACCAAACTTGGAAGAAAACGAAGCACAGTTCTGTTTTTTAAAAGTTAAAATTTGGGAATGTTATTAAGGTGGAATAATTGGTCAGCCAAAAGACTATTAGAAATAAAACATAAAGGTAATTAGTAGTAGATATAGTTGAATACAAGGTTAATTAGTCTCATTTGTATGATGTTAATTATTAAAAGTAATCAGCCCTGGGATACTTACAGAAGTGCTCTCACTAAATGTTTTAAAAAATGCAACAGAAAGATTCTTACAATTTGCTTCCAGCAGAGCTTATGTATAAACCTTTTAAAGATACACACTGTCTTGGGATATTTGCATAATAAGATGCTTTATTAAATGAATGTCCAAAATTTTGCGCCTTCCCCCAACGTTTTGAATCACATTTCTGGAGCTGGCATTATTCTCTCTCTCCAGGACAGATCAGGGAGACTGAAACATAAACGGTAGCATGAGATTTCTGAATCAAAGCCTATCTTGAGGCATAATTAAAGAAGAGCGTCGAATTATCTGAAGTTAAAACTGTATCATCTTTTGCCCTTAACGCACATAAGATAACTTAGATGACATTTCATTAGAGGCAAAGCATGGATTAATACTTATTTAATATCTACAGTAGAAGCTTCCCTCAGGTGATTCCCTCAGATTGTCCAGTGAATTGGGGCAAATATTTTGCCTTTGTCTGCAGCTAAATAAATAATTTGCAGCAAATAATTTACTTGGCAAAGTTTCTACTGTTTCTGCAGCAAGGATGTGATTTCTTCAGGCTTAGCAGTTATCTGATGACAAAATTTTTGTTTTTAATACTCATTTGAGAAATTAAAAATATTCATATTACAAAAGGTTAAACCCTATTGTTTAGCTGTAAATGGAGGGATCAAGTCATACGTTTTTGTTTGTTTTCCTGATTAGATGGTTGTATCCTCAGCTCTATTGGCATAGTGAAATTCCTTTTGGACCCAGCTTTCTGTTCTCATTTGTATTGGTTAACTGTCTCTCAGGACTTTGTAGAGGGTGGCTTGCAAACAACTACAAAATGTGATGAAATACATTCTTTTAAATGTAAGTAAATATTTATCAGGACACCCCACGACTCCCACCCCCTCCGCCACCCATATGTATTGTCAGGTCTTAACAGCTCTATTTGAGCCATCATGGTAGGAAAGGAGGCAGCAGGAAAGTAAGCTATGATGTGGAAACAATGACATCCACACTCAGCATAATAAAACCTTATGAACCAAAGCCATGGATAGAAACCATCTTTGCTTTCAGCATATAATACCAGATCTAGAAAAGGTCCCTCTGTTGGTCTCTGTCCTTTAGAAAGGTGTAGAGGAGAACAGCATATCTTTACATTCTAGAGCTGCTGCATCCAGTTGAGGAGAACTGGCAGGTTGATGGTAGATTTCTGCCTAGATCTATTCCCACGAATTTCAGTCATCTAATAAGATGTTAGAGAGGATGAATCATCCTCTGGAGATGAATCTGTATCTCTCTATAAGCAATCTCAAGTGCGTGAAGTTAGTAAGTTAGTCTTAGTTCCTTTTGTATGGCTCACAATGGGAAGACTCCCCAGTGCTGCCTGTGTTTGCATCGGGGTGTTGGCTGTTACGGACTTAGATCTCAGTTTCTGCTCAGTGATTTTGTTGGTTGTATGCTACCATTTATATTTTTTTTTAGGAAGACATGGAAGCTAACAGAAGGTGTCTTGTCACCTGAAAATTAAGAATGGGTTTTGGACAATCCAAAAAAAATAAGGGTAATGAAGCATAGGAAGATAAATTCTCAGCAGTTCAAATGTATTCTTAACATCTTGACGTTGTGCAAGTGGAATCCAAGATTGAAAAGCTACTGTTGGACTTTAGAATCAAATATTATAATGGACTTTCAAAATCAGAAATGTGATTTCATTTTTGCATATATTATTGTGGATAGCTATACTATCTGCATAAAGAGGTATTCTCATATAACATTTTTTGAAAATGTCTGGTGCTAATAATTGTTATATTAAATAGCTGTGTTCTATATAGTTTTCAGTAGACACTGACCTCATTCCGTTGTGGCTCCTTTCCTTATAGGAGCAGCAGCATGTATTAATGAAACTCTCAGACAGAACTCACAAGTGGAAGTTATTTAAGTAAATTGAAGATGCATCTTCTAAATAAGGTACGTACATTAGCCTTGAATCAGACCTTGAAGTATGGTGGTGCATACTGGCATACGAACATTGCTTACATGAGCCTTTTCATGATTCCTAAATTTTGGCTTTCGTTTTATGAAATCTGACTGTGGCTGCAGAATTTTTTTGAAAGCATGAGTTGGTTTCAGATCAAGTGGAAGCTCTGCCTGATTTTGCAGGAAGTCTGAAAAATCAGGTTAAAGAGAAGAACTAGTCCTTTCAACTGGAAGGGGTGTT